ATATATATCTCCTTGTAATATCACATTAGACCTATTTATATAAAAAATGCAGATATTAAAATATTAAAACATACAGATATTAAAAAATACAGATACAATATATAAATAAAATACAGGTCTGAGGTATAAATATACGATACAAAACTTTAAAACTTACACAATCCAATTAGCAAACTCCATAGTGTTACTGAATGTTGCACTCAGAAGAACCAGTTTTACAGTATCTGGTAGCATGATCAAAACCTCCTCCCAAACGACTCCTCTCTACAGAAAAAAAAACAGGCATGCACTCCCATATATGTCATATTATTATTTACATTATAAGTACTATATTATAATTACAGAGTTATTCCACCAATCCTATCATTTGTGACTTTGGAAATGAGCCTCTGACCATGCAACATCTCTTGTAATGTAGCATCCTTGAGGATACCCGCACCATTACTGATCTTGCCAGATACATCCACAAGGCAAAGGAGTGTGTTCAGCTATGGCTGGGCGAATTTTAAGCTGTACTTGGACTCAATTAAGAAGAGGATTATGCCATTATTGTCATAGCATTTATCCTGGAAACACCAAAATTGAAGATTATGGCAACACAACAGAGAACACGCACATGATCACCGAAAATCCTGTTGGGATTTGGTACTTAAAAATGTTCTGTAAAAACACTAGACCTACATTTATATATTAAAATAATTATTAAAATTGATCTCTTATCATCATAAATTCATATTTACTTAGTATATCAACATCATCTTTATAAAACTAAATTAAAACTATTCTGGTCCATATCAAATTATACACATTATAATTACCTACCACTTTATCACCAATGTATTGTACTTCATCAATGATGACCCATTCCAGATCACTGAGGTCCTGATCATACAGTTTTGACCTGAAAAAAAAATTACAAATTGACAAATACAACAGAAATGAAATAACTTAATACATAATAATGTATGTAGTAGCATTATCACTCCGGCCATTGAAACAAAAAGCATATATCGGTATAACACATACGCAGCTCCCTGGGAACAGTGGTTGCATCAGCATTTATCCAACAGGTGGTCCTTGACAGACGGACTACTGTACGTTCACCTTCGCCAAAAAATGATTTTGTTATGTCACCTCCCGATGACAAAACAAATGTATAAAATAGGTGTTTAATGAATGATGATACATGAGCATAAATAATCACTGTTTAATGGTGTAGCCCTCATTCTCATTTGAAGACTCCCAAACAAATGGATAGTTAAAACATGATATGTGTTCTTTCTTTTTTCTTCGATAAAATATAAATATTTTTTCATTAGGAATTCTCATATAATTTCCTTATATTATATCTATCAATGTAATAAAACAAGAAAATAAAGGAGCTCTCCTTTTAATCTTTATTATTCTTGAATATTAATGTATCTAAAATTGAATTTACATACACATACAAATGATATTAAGATTATTGTTCATTATTTTAAGTCAATAAACTTCTCTGCTCTGATTATAAATATTGTTGAATAAAAACCTTAGAATTTCAGTTGTCATGATGACACAGGAAGCTTTTTCATTCAATTGGATATCTCCTGTCTGCAGGCCAACATGTTCACGACCAAATATATTCTTGAAATCCCAGTACTTCTGGTTGGACAATGTCTTGATTGGTGATGTATATATTGCCCTGAAAAAAAAATCACAGATGTGCAATTGAAGGAATTGATGTAAATGAAAATTAAAAAGTAAAAAAACAAAACAAAAACAAAACAAAAAACAAAACAAATAATCCATTTAAACAATTTTAGTAAAATTGTTCCTATACTCAACTGCTTTTGAAAAAAAAAACATAAAGTAATAGTAAAATTAATAAGGAGAGAGAGATGGAGAGAACTACTTTATATAGACAAAACAAGAAAATATTTAAGTCATAATAAGAAAAAAAATTGCCTCGGCCGAAGCTTGTACCTCACCGCAGACAGTGTACAGAGCTTTTGAAGAGTGCCACCTATCATTGAGAATTGTAAAACATGTGGGAAAATATAAAAGCCTATCTATTATTTTATATATTTACAGGATCTGTGATTAGTGTAATGTTATTATTACCACAACATTGCCATAAACTCTCAGAAAAAAATGGTTTTATGTATCCAATCCTGTTCAAGAAGACCAAATGGAGTTTTTTTCTTCTTGTAGATAAATTTCTAACAATTCAGGTTTGCGCAGCACCCATGCCATAAATCTTAAGATGCCCAAATTGCAGATAAATTATCATCATAATGGTGATTATGAATATGGTGGTGGTGGTGATGATGAAGATTTTAATGATGATAAATATAGCCTAATTGACTAATCAATAGACATAGGTGGACGTCTGGTGATGAAAGAAAGCTTTTTACGTCCATCTGTATACAATGTTTTTCCTTCGAGGTATACAAAAAAAGGCATTCTAAAACTTCAGGGGTCTGGGAGGTCCGGATGTCGCCAATCATCTCTCTGGAACCACCCTTGCAATGGCATATTTTGAATATTCTGTATCACACACTTACTTGGTACCATGTTCGAGAGAGAGAGCTACAGCATATTCCGCAACAACCGTTTTCCCAGCTGATGTGTGAGCTGATACAAACACATTGTGTTTCTTTTCCAGATGCAGTATAGCTTGTTTCTGAAACACATCCAACTTAAATTCCCACTGCAATAAAAGAAAATAATTTGTGACATCTACTTAAGACAAATTGAAAAAACAGAGAACAAAATTACAGCAGGGGCAGCTTCATAGATGTCCGGGAATAACCTCTGTGGTGTTTTGGGTGATCAATAATTTCTTTTTCTTTCTTTCTGAAATTAAACTTTCCAAATGGGTGGAGGGGCTAGGCCCTTTAAATCTACCCCTGTATGGTCATTGTGCAACAAGTTTAGTAACTTTAATTTACAAATATAATAATTAAAATAATTATAGTAATAATAACAATAAAGTTGATAATCAAGTAAAAAGTATTACAATAGTGACAACTATATAGTTGGTAAAAGCAACTCCTTTTTTTGTTAATAGCAGAGTTGTGAACATATAGGGATAGCAAAAAACAATCCACACACACACAAGAAAGGCCACAATTCTAGATCAAAACCAGAAAAAAATATCAGACTATCGTATTTACAATGCTGAGGAATGATCTTGCAAAAGAAATATGAATTTGAAATATTAACTATATTACAAGACGGTTATGAAATATTATACTTAAGTTATGTAAATAAGGAAACTGTATTTTTTTACACACTGAATACTATATTTTAGTTTTCACCTACCTCATGTGCCATTTTAGGAACTTCCCTTGTGAAGTTTTCAACAGACGTGTTTACCATAACTGCCTGAGGTAGCTGAGATGGCTTCCTTTTTTGACTGGATGATGGTTGAATCTGGTCACATTAATTATAATTACAATTTCATAATTAATATATGAGCTATATATTTCTTTTTTGGTATAATTTTTTTATGGACTTCTGTCTGAAATATGTCTCAAAAATTTAAATCAAAATAATAAAAGCAAAACACTGAATACTTTATTTTAGGATTCACCTACCTCATTAGCCATTCCAGGAACTTCTAGTGTGATGTTATCAGATACAGATGTATTGACCCTAAATGCCTGAGATGGCTGGGACAACTCTCTTTCTTGACTGGATGATGGTTCATCCTTGTCACGATGATCATAGTTACAATTTCATACATTTAATATAATTTTTTTTGTATAATTGTTACCAGGAATTACTTTCCATTTACTTCTCTGTAATTTACATTATTATTTCTTAAAGTATCACTCTTAAATATGAAACTTAATAAAATAAATATATTAACTTCAGTAATAAAACTCAATAACAGAATAATAACAGTAATAAGAACAAAAACCATTATCATGTCAACACTGTAAATGATTACATATTTTCAAATATTGACAAATGTAGTTATACATTACTTTACTGGCAAATAAAAAAGGTTGAATGTAGACATAATTATTTGATGCAGTACATTAACCAGTCGCACCCTCTTTGACAGGGAAATCTGGATCACTGTTGCAGAAGAATCCAAAACCTTATTCTTATAATTTGTATGAACTGTTAGTAAACTTGGACCTCTTGTTAGGGGATATATGATATATAAAGTGCTGCCTCTCACATAAACATTCTAAACATTTCCATTTGACTTACCATTGTCAAACCAGAAGCTTGTTTCTGTTTATTGGAGTGGTCTGTGTATGAAAATGAGATGACAATCCTGAAAACATAAAAATCAAATATGGCATTTTGGGTTATTTTGATTATACTTTAGAGCTCTGGTCCAAATTTTACCTTGAGGCAATTAAAAAACAAAATAATGAAAAAAAAATATTTAAAACATAGTTTGATAAACACATTTTTAATAAAGTAAACACAAAAATGCAATTCCTGGGTAATGTGCGCATGGTGGTTTGAAATTTAGCAAGATGATATACCGTAAGCCATAAACAGAATAAATAATGCCAAAAAATGATCACTGGTTACTTTTCGTGGTCCTATTTTTAACCATGTGTAAACATCCTCAGTATCCAATATTTAACTTTTATTTGCACCACTCAAAATTTGGGAAAACAGATGCTATGTTTTTTCATTTCAAGCATGGCATTTTTATCTTAATTACACTTACAGTGCAATCTACAAACGGTTGTGTTACAAGTAAATTGAAGGTACTACGCAAGGCCTACGAATAGTGGCGGCGTCAGCGAGGTGGCCATAACATCGGCACTGGTTCGAACGGCAAGTTTGCTTATGGTTCTTGTGGTAGAAGTCTTCTCAGATAAGGACTATAAATCGTGGCTCATGTGCACCCGTACATCCTTCGACACGAGTAGGGGGATCCCCGGTGTACTGGAACAGACAGAACCCGTGGTGGATGACCAGAGTTGTTGGTACAGGGCTTACGGGTAGCACGGACACGAAGGGACCCTTAGGGGCTAAGAAAGTCATTGATCGAGTTCCTAGTCCACATTTCAAGCACCCTGAGCATCTTACATTAGATGGATATGTGCGCTATATAAAACTACACTATTATTATAATTATCTTTTTTGCATTTCAAACTAAATGCATGATGGTATGACCCAGATAAAAAACATTTACAAGTTGAAGTTTTAATTTCAACTTGTAAATGTTTTTTATCTTTTTATTTTTATTTTTTATGTTTTTTATATTTTTAAATGTTTTTTAAATGTTTTTTTTTTTTTATCTTAAAAGCTTCTTTCTCAGTTTCATAAACTTACTAATGAGACACTTGATTAGAACATAGTACAAAATGATTACAGCACTACCATTTACCCACCCTCCTCATTTAAAGCTTATGCAATCGATCGAGGTACAGGAAAAACTAAATTATGCCTATATATTAAATCATTAATTTGAAAATATTTGGTCTACGATTGGCCTTACAGAATGATTGTACCAGAAAAGTAAACAGGCACTAGCTTTTTAATTTATACTGATTTCCATGTTCGATTTTCTATTGGGAATTTACTGCCTGCAACTGAAGCTTCACTGTGATTGGCTCGGTACATTGTATGGCTGAATGAATTTCAACTTTAGCTTGTTTTACCAGGAACTGCTCCCTGGTTTTATATTAATATTCGTAAGCCTAATTATTTTACATGATAATAGACAGCTATTGAACTAAAGAACAGTGCTTATAAAAATACATTTCGATTTTATTCAAACCATACAGGACTCTATATGCGGGCATGTTCTGTCTTGTGTTTACGGTCAGACTCGGATGAGATTATCTTTGGCCTGTCAGATCAACTCTAAGAATAATATGGCCTGTCAACTAGGCCCAGGATTTATCAATCTCAGCCCAGCAAAAGTCCCTAAGCAAATATCTAAAGCTGATTTATCAAATCATCTTAGCAAAATCTTAGCTTAAAATCATCTAAGATGGTTCATGCGTACAATCGACTATTTAATTTTAAGCAATTTTTAATTGAAGGCAATAATGATAAATTTGACTTAAGCAAAAAAATGGATTTAAGATGAACTTAAGCTGATTTCTAGTTTGATAAATCCGGTCCCAGGGCTTTAGAGCATAAACATGAATATTTTGATATCTTTGAACATGATTAAAACTCTCTGCAATCAGCATTTTCGGAGATATCAGGTGGATTTTGAAGGGCTAATTATAGGCTTTCAATCACATTTCCGTCAACAAAACAATAGCATGTTTGTAGGATTGCGATGTTTGCATTGGTTTCTCAAGGATTTTAATAATTTGCTAAAAATAGTCATGGTGATGGGCGTCTGAGTTGAAAACTACATAGATTCAGCCAAGCAAATAGCACTTTTTAAAATAATAATAACCAGTAACATTTTTCCCAGACTCAATCTTATTTTTTGGCTAATTTCAGGCTTGAAATGTTCTTATTTTACACACTTTTCAAAGCTACAAAATTAATACGTAGGCCCAACAGCAGTAGGTATAGGATTATTACATACTGTACTCGCATCTGACAGAATTTTACACAAGGGTCTTTTTGTTGGTTTTTTCTAAAAAATATAGTTTTTTTTAAATTAAAAAACCTAATTTAAATTTTTCTCCAGCCTTAAATTGTTCTTATTTTTTTTTGGCAATTTCATCCTCAGTGTTCTCAGTGTTTTTGGCACTATATAAATATTTGTTATTATTATTATAAAATGTGTTCCTATTAATTAAAAACCTTTGCTTGTAAAAATAAATCGAGCAGTAGTCAAGATCTTGATATTTTAAGATAAATTTGGTGACAAGGCATTGGACACCCCTCAATATCCAATATGTTACTTTTATTAAAACCACTCCAAATTTGGGAGAACAGATGATATATTTTTTCATTTCAAGCGTGGCATTTTTATCCTGATTAGGCCTACACTTACAGTGCAATCTACAAACAGTTGTGTTGCTGAATAAAGAAATAAAAAAAAAAATACATATAAATTGAAGGTACACTACACTTCATAGTCTACGCAAGGCCTACGAAATCTAGTTCTTATTTTATGCACTATTAATCTATACAGTTTTTTGCATTTCAAACTAAATGCATGATGGTTTGACTCAGATAAAATAATTTAATCAAACATGACTGTGTAATAAATCAATTGCAAAAAAATGTGTAACATTTACAAGTTGAAGTTAAGCTTCTTTCTTTGCTTCATAGACTTAAATGAGATACGTTACACCTGAGTAGAGCACAGTACAAAATGATTTAGGGCAAATTTAAAAAAATGTTAGATTATCACTACTACCAGCGTAAAAAATTTGGGAAAAATTAATGCAGGAATAAAAGAAAAATTTTTTTATTTTAACAGCTTAAAAAGACAATGCAATTTTGCGAATGGAAATACATTTTCTTTAAAAAAAAAAATGAAATTAAACCAGTTTTTATACAATATTTCCAATATACTTGCAAAATAAAAACAGTTAAAAAGAGTAATAATCTAATAATTTTTTCTATGCACCCTTACAGCACTACCATTTACCCACCCTCCTTATTTAAAGCTTTAGCAATCGATCCTACCTGCTTTTCAGCCTCCCTCTTGACACTGGCCTGTGGAAGAGTACCAGGAGAGTAGTTGTTATTCGTTGTGTTTCAATATGCAAAAATGTCAAATTATGAGGTACTGTACAGGAAAACCTATAATATGCCTATATATTATACATTTTTAATCATTAATTTGAAAATATTTGGTCTACGATTGGCCTTACTGAGTTATGGTACCAGTAAAATAAAGAGCTATATTTACACTGATCTCCGTGTTGGATTTTCCCACTTTAGATAATTTTCTAGTGGGAATTTACCACTGCAACTGAAGCTTCACTGTGATTGGCTCAGTGCAAAATACCTAAAATATAATTGAATAGCTCATTTAAAGGGATCAATTAAACCATTAGCTTCCAAAGACATTTTACTGCAGAGCTTAAATTGGCTGGTAATCTATGTAAGGATTTTTGTATGTAAAAGAATATAGGAAAGTTAATATTTACTTGTAACTGTCCAAAAATTGATGGGGGAATTTTTGTTTTTATTCAAATTTTTCATTTTAAATTAATAACTTACTTCAGTATATACAAATTAAACAATTTAAAGGTGGAATTTTAAATTTTATTACCTCATGACTTCTTGTCTTGTAACAACCAAGTGCATTTTGTCTATGTCATCTTTTCTTAATCCTACCTTAATATGCCAACATGCTCCCTTATGCAATTGTCATACACCTCACTCTATTTCTTTTCTGTTGCCTCTAGGAATGGAGGTATACAATACTTCCATGCTCTAGTTAACCACCACAGCCTTGTAAATTTATTGTCTTCCTTCCATATATTAATTACATTTTCATGCACTATAGAATAGCAAATGTAAGGTATGAAGTAAATAAGTATACAGTTGCAAATAAAATTTTAAAAAATGGTTAATAAAATAAAGCAAATAATACTAATATATAATAATACTAAAACAGTAATATTAAAAAAATAATTACATTTACCATGACACCTACATTGTAATCACCGCCTTCTCAATTAGGTTACCTTGTCAACCATCAGGACTGTTTATGTTGGAAAGTAAAATTTAACTGAGGAAAAAAAAATTAACAAAAATAATTATAAATTATTTATATACATATAATTAGGTTTTACAATTAATCATCCAAAAAAAAAAAGGTAAATACAGTGTTAAAAAAAGGACAAGATAGTACATCGTGTAGCATAGGTCTTATATAATTCTATATGGCATTTGTTTATTTTTTTATTTCATTTTTGATTTACAGCTTTCAGCATGGTGCCAACCGATGTTCAGAAAAAAAGTAGGTAGTCCCAAACAATATTGAATTTAATTTGTTTAAAATTTAGTTAAAAGTGTAAATAACAGGCTTCTTATGTGTTCTTTTTTTGGGAAAATTCTGCAGTAGTTTTTACAGAGTGTGCACAATTTTTGCAGTTTTTTCTTATCTCCTAAACTTCCATAATGACATTTTAATATTTTTTATTGAACTTTTTTTTACAGCCACAGGATGATTTATCTTTTGATTCGCCATCAGAAGATGAAATCTCTGAAAGATAACCAACAAAAGTAGGTAGTTTAATTGTTTTTAAGTCAGAGAAAATTCTGCATTACTGTATTCAGTAAATACATGTGTAGAAATAATTTGTACATCTCTGTTTTGTAGCATTTAGACAGTGTACAAAAATTTTAAGTGTCGTATTATTACAGGAGCGTATTCTCAACACACAAACAAATGATACCAATCAATAGCGATATTGATGAATTTAAATTACCAATGATTTGCAATGTTTAAATCACTACCTTCTCGATCAGGTTATTCTTTTTATCTGTCATTGTTTACGATGCAACATCATAAATTTTAACTACCCAGTTAAGATTCTAAATTAGAAAAGCGGATTACAGAACATATTACTGAAAAATGTAAATTTTCTTTTTTTGGTTGCAGACAACAATCAGTGTAATCATTAAGATAGTTAATTGGAAATTTTTACCACCTTACAAACTTCAATGATTGAACATTAAAATGTTAATGCCTCTTAAATCCAAATTAAGGAAAACTGTTCATTGCTGTTTAACGATAATCACAAATTATATTTTCAGCCCAAGCAAAAACGATTCCCAAAGACTTGCCCGTTCCCCGACACCTCGTCAGGAAGCACAAGTTGGACCAAAAAAAAGCAACTACGCTTGGTGACCTGTGCAGCTTGCAACGCACTCGGGGAAAATCAGATAGGTGCAGGTGTCCGGTTCAAAATTGCAGACTTTTGAGGGCAAGGGTGGACCAGCACCTGCAGCACAAACGCAAGATTGAAAAGGGTATGTTTCATTTTATGCGCTTCCAACATTAACATATTTTTGAAAAAAAACTAAGAAAAGAAAAAAACCAACTTGTAAAATCCAGTCAATCTTGAAAACTATGTTGAATAGGCCAATTTATATATTCTATCCTGTCGAGAAATTGAATATGAGACAATAAAGTTTTTAAACTGGTTTGTGAAGAAACCTGAATATCAGGTGTGTTAGTATTGACTATATATTTACAGATACAGATTAGATTTATTATCTAAAATAAGGAAATTACAGCGCTCACTTAAACTTTATGAAACAATGTAATATTAATTCCCAATAATGATAATAATAATAATAATAATAATAATAATAATAATAATGAAAGTAATAATAGTAATGATTATGTTAATTATTTGTTAAATATCTTTTATAAAAATTATAACTGCACTTATATTTATTAAACAATGCAGAATTTTCTCTTAACATAATAATATATTGTTATTAGTGGCTGTAAAAAAAAAGGGGAAAAAAAATATTAAGTGCAGTATTAATGCAAGAGTGTTTTTTTTCAACACACAAACAGATGCTACCTATAAATAGCAACATTGATGAATTTCACTTACCAATTCCACGGGAGTCTTGTGCAAATTTTGAAACAGAGAAAAATAAGAGTACTGTACATACAGGAAACGTTCATGAATTAAGGGACATTCACACAAAATCCGAATGTTCGTTTAGGGAAGCCAATCGAAGCAAAGATTATTATACCTCCTTGCAGAATCGATTAGGAAAAGCAATTCAGTATGTAAGAATAGGGACATTTCATTTCATATTGGAAATGAATGCAACTTTAAGCAAAATCAAATAGTTTTTTGGGGGATTATTTTTTCAAAAGAATCTGCTTTACTCAGCAGAAATGTAAAATTCGCCACATTCAAGAAGAAAATTATACTAAAACAAATAAATATGAATAGACTTTATTATGATAATGAAAGTAACCAAATTTACCTGTCACCAAAACACAATATGATGCAATAATTTTATAGAATTGTAACGTTGTAATCCGAGTTCTTTGAGCTTTATATGGTAACTGAATAATATCACTGTTTATCTTGAAGTGGAATAATTTTTTTTAAATGGTAGTGGATTGACACCATTTCATTGTTTGTTGGCTTACCTGTCTATATTCTCTTAAATATATTCAATATATATTATAATACCTTATCATTTAAATGGTAATAAGAATAAAAATGCAAGATCCAATATTGCTCATCATTTAAAATACATGTATATAATTTGTTCTTTAACAATATACCTATTATTGTGTAAAAAATGATAATCCAATTCAGCTTTAATGAAGCGTAGGGATATCTTCTCATACTTCCTAAGCAAACAAATTGGCAGGTCTTCCGAACTAAAATCCTTAATGATGGAACCAAACGGACCCAAATTGATGAAAAATACAACACATTTTAAGAAAATAACCTATTATTCTAATTAATATCATGAATACTTGATTATTATCTACATTCTACATTCTGTTAAATATGCTGGTATTCAATTTATAATTTAATACCTTATTATATAAAAGGTAATAAGAATCAAAATTCAAGATTTATATTTGCAAAGAACAATACTAAAACAATACATACATATTCTATTGTTTAACTAAATTATACAAACTTATCAATTAAAGTATTTAATTTGAATTTTACATCTTTTTTAGCATATCACAAAAAATCCAAAATATGCTTCTATTATAAGTTTAAAAAAATATAATTTCAATATTTTTACATTATTGCATTATTACACAAAATATATTAAAATTATAAATAAGGTCTCACCTTACATAGTAAACTAAATAAGAATCTCTTTTGTTAGCCCCATGAATAAAATAATATATGACCTAAAGGAGAACAAGGATATCCTTCTTAAACCTGGACTTTCATATCTACAACAACACAGCATTCAAGATGACAATACTAAAACAATACATACATATTCTATTGTTTAACTAAATTATACAAACTTATCAATTAAAGTATTTAATTTGAATTTTACATCTTTTTTAGCATATCACAAAAAATCCAAAATATGCTTCTATTATAAGTTTAAAAAAATATAATTTCAATGTTTTTACATTATTGCATTATTACACAAAATATATTAAGATTAATAATTAATTAACTGTTCATCATAAAATACTTACATAAAATATGTGCATTTTAATGTTGAAAACATACAGTTGTAAAAGTGTTTATCAAAATGCACAAGACTTAAGTTGTAGTGTGCTTACATAGTAAATTTAGACAAGAAATTTATTATCTTGTTTAGTGAACATCCCGATCACCAAAAATGGTGATTTTGTATAAATAAAAGCAAAATTTTATTTTTTGCCAGTTATGCGATCAATAATAAAATAGAATAGAAATTTTATTTAAAAAATGAAATGTTATATTTATTTTTATTATGCTTAAGCCCTCCTCTAACAAACTTACAAAAACTAACAAAAAATAAGTTTGTGAAACAAGGTATAAATAAGGTCTCACCTTACATAGTAAACTAAATAAGAATCTCTTTTGTTAGCCCCATGAATAAAATAATATATGACCTAAAGGAGAACAAGGATATCATTCTTAAACCTTAGTGTATAATGAATTTAATGGACACTCATCAAACTTGGTACTTGGTGCCCCCACTTGGATGTCTGACAAAGCTCAAAGATATTTTCTCGTCTAACAAATACCAAGGTACTGTTAGGGTCCCAGAAAACTTCACATATTATCTGAGGTCAATGCCATGCATAATTCCTTTGTTACATCCCTTATGGTCTCCAATCTCTAGACAGATACAGTATATTTCAATATTAGATTCCAAACATCTGGAAGCCAAAATTAACAGTTAATATTAAGTAATGGCTTTCCATTTGGAAAAAAAAAATAGATATCATATCTGACATAGATAAAATATGTCATTTATTTTAGTTATTGTCTGATAATTTAAATTTTAACAGATAGAGCATTTCAAGCAACAATCAATTCATTGAAGTGTGGATTGTTTAATATTAAAACAAGTTTACAAAGAAGTATACATCTTGTATAGTTTATTCGTTTGTAGTACAGTGTACCAACAAACAGTCACAATGGTCCACTTGACACCTTCTGCATATATCACATTTTGAGATACATTTTTTTAAAATTAAAAATATAGTAGTTATAGGTTCTTTCAGTAGCACAAAAGTAAAAATAGAAAATGTTCTCAATTCAGATTCTTCAAAACCAAGTTTGACACCAAGAAAGTTAAAATATAGGTATAATCTTAACATATTATTTTTTAAATACTATATGTTTAAATACCTTCTGTCTTTGTTCAAACTGTGGAAGCAGAAGCAAGTGTCTCTGAGAGAGCTGTTCTTCAACTTCTGCTATTTTCTCCTCCAGTATTTTCTGATTTTCAACAATTTCATACTGAAAATGTACAACAAAAATTAAAAATTGAAAGCAATGGTCAGATTCAAATGCTAGACTACGATAATCTTTACTGTCAGATGTTTCTTTTCTTTACAATTATGCCTATTTGTTTTACAAATTTTAATATATGATATTTCTAATATCGCTATAAAAGTTTTGAAAAAATAAATCCAAGATAAATTAGACCTACATGTTTAGTTAAGTGTTTACACTGAAGGCATTTATATCCAAAAATCTGCTTTTCTAGATCCTCTCTCTCTTTAAATTTGAAAATAAATTCCTGTGAAACAGTCTGAGGAATGAACAAGGGAATATCCTTTGTGCGTAACCTACACATCATCTGGACAACTTTTTTAGTGAGCATAGTGGAAGATACACTGCAAAAAGTAGATTATCAAAAGTTAGTAAATAGTTGTGAAAATGCAAAAGTGGTCAAATCCTATTATTTATTATTAGAATGTCAGTTAATACAATTGTAATGATAATATAATACTTAATAATATAAAAAATTACAGGACGGTACCGTAAAACTTCAAATAGAAGCCCTGGGCTTCTTTTTTTTGGCCACCTTTGGATGGCTTCTTTTCGAGATGGGCTACCTCTCGAGGCTAATTGCAAAGTAAAAAGGAGGGGCATATCGAAACGTTTTTGCCACTTTTTATCATTTGCTAGTCCAGCTATCACGAAAGCAGCGAACTGAGGTCAAATCAACCCCGCTGTAGAAGCAGTTTGGATCAACCAATTAAAAACATTGGGTTTGTTTCATTTTCATTATGAGGTTAAAATACTAACAAAATTAAATTTGCACAGCCAATATTCTTTTGTTAAAAACTTGCATTTGAACACATATTTAACAGTACACATAGTACAATGTAAAGTGAACAAATGCTGAGATCTCTCTTTCCCTAGTCCACACTTTCATGTTGGCGGGATTGGCTTAGCCCTACGGTACACCCCTACGGAAATTTTCAAACGGTCCAGACTATAGATTGCATTTTTTGCAGAAATATAGCCTAATTGCTGCAAGTATCTTGTCTTGGGACATTTGTTTTTTAATAAAAATCCAACTGATAACTAAATTAGGCCAAAATACACGAAGAAAGAAGTCAAACACTGCGAACACAAGTCAAGCAAACAGAAGTATGACGTCATACCAGTGAATCGGACTATCACGCTTGAGAAATTTTTTGACCCCCAAGCTTGTTTTTTTATTAATTTTGTTTCTTTAAAATTCAAGTAAAGTGTACTGTACTTTCTGAAAAAAAAGCCATGCTTTCTTGAAAAGAAGATTTTGAGAGTAATTTGGCAAAACTGAAGAGGGGGGCTTCAATTAGATGTGGGCTTCTTCTCGAGATAAGGCCCATTGCCGAAAGTTGGGCTGATTGAGACAACACCCCGCGAAATTTCTGTGTTCTAGACGCACGAACATAACATTTGAGGCATTCTGGGCTATCATTTTTTTCTTTTTCTCTCTTTTTTTCCTTTTTTTTCTTTTTTTTACCTCCCAATTATACACATCTAGATGTGTATAAGAGACAGATCCGCCCCTGCATTGGGTTTCTTTCAAGGTTTTATCAGTAATGCTTCTGTTTAAATGTTCTTGAATTGACTATACTGTACAAAAGAAAATAACAAGTGGAGAAATACCAAAAGTAGCCAGCAGTAAACAGCTGCCTGGAGGGTTAGGGGAGGAAACAGCCAGCCTATGCTCAAGTTTAATATTGCAGTTATGGTATTATAGTTTAGTTTGTTTTGTATCTTATGCTTGTTTAGAATGTGATTTGTTCACCTTGATTGAGCAAGTTCTTCTGGTATAGCAACTACAAGATTTGTTATGGTAAAATCATCAGTATCAAACTCTACAACTTCAGAGCAATGGCTGAAGTCACTCGTTGGCAGAAACACTTCCGTCTTTAAAATCATAGGAACTTTTAGCTCTGTTTTTGGTTCCCCCGTAGACGCTTTTTTACTACATATCACAACAGCTTTGACCATATTTGAATCTGTGTTAACGTTAGATATGATGATCCCAAAATGATTCTTGTGTTTTTCTGAATTGACAACAACAATTCGACCAATTGGTAGTGCCTCAGGATCCATAATAGATTCAGACTGAAGAGGAAAAAATATGGGATACTATTGAAATAAATATATAAATAATATAAGTATAATCATGATCAAAAATGCTATGAATTGATGATATAATAATGTAAATGATAATAATAAGCAATTAGTACAGTTACATATCATGAACTAGTGGATCAAAATGTTAGATTTAAAGCATGAATAAATCCTTGCACGGCTGAAGTATACTTTTGAAAAATTTAATTAAACTAATACGGTGTGTAAACATTATAGTTTACTCTTATTAACATTTTTCAGTTTCCTTAGATATTAGGGTTCACTGATTCACAAAATTCCTTAAATTTTCATTCAGCCTTGCAATATGAAGGAACAAGCAAAACTCAAGGGATGTACGGGATGATTTCAGATTGAACAATTTGTCAAAGGTTAATTAAGCAAAATATAACTATATGTTATTTTTTTTTTTAAAATAATGATGTATTAATTTATTTCTTTCTGTCCATACCTTACACTAAACTTCACTAATATCCTACCTGTAAATCAGATCTTAACGTATGAATCCTTTTGCATGTGTCATAGTACTGTTCCAGATCCTCTTTGCACAAGTCACAAGGTACAGGTTCCATGTCATTTAACTTCTGCTTCAAAGCTAGAAGTTCTTTTTCCGTAGAATCTCTGCTATACTCTGCAAAACTTTTCCTCAGAATATCCTGTACTCCAAACTTAGCCCTATTAAGTAGATTCAGGATCATAGTATCCTTGAGGTGAAATTGTGATTCCACAGGACAAGGCTTCCCCTATGGGTGAAAAATAGATTCATTCTTAATATTTAAAAAGAATTTGTAAAAGTGTATATTTGATCAATTTTAACATTACACTAATGAGGGCATTACTGTGTCGACAAAGTAAAGCCATAAGAATTGTATGCAACACCCATTAGCAGAATCTATCTTTGCTGCTATTCATTAAAACTAATTCTGAAACTATATTAATAAAGGATTAAAACTTAAGAACAGTGAATGTATATATTGTATAAAAGAAAATTAAATAACCATTATTATGAAAACTGTATAATGGTAAGCTATGTATAAATGATTGTGCTCTATGTAATCATGCAGAACATATACTTAGAATATGTAATGAATTTATTTGATTTGTTTTATTTATTAATGTATTTTTTTATACTGTAGTTTATTTTAAATTATTTTATAATAAAGGGGCGCCCGTTATAAAGCTTGTTTGCTGTGGCGACCCTTTTCCATTACATTTAAATGTTTTGATACATTTATCAATTATTATTGTGTGTGTGTGTTAATGTGGAAATGAACTGCTTTAAAGCCTCCAGCAGGGGTCATTGCTGACACCTCATCTAGGTCATATAAGCTGCCTCTTCATTTGGTGTTCTTATGACTTGTCAGATCCCCTGTCAACAATTACCACTGCTGCACAAAAGAAAGTTCAACTTACTTGTTGTAAACTTCTTAATATTGAAGCCTTTGGAACGCGATCTCCACATAGAATAATAGAGAAACCACATGAATCTTTGCCTCTTCTACCTGCTCTGCCAGCCATCTGAATGTATTCGGCTGAATTAACAGTACGTTTCTTCTCTCCATCAAACTTTTCATTAATGGAGTCAAAGATCACAGTCCTTGCTGGCATATTCACACCACTAGCAAATGTCTCTGTAGCAAACAGGACCTAAAAAATAAATATACACTACTTATATAATATGACCAATAAAATAGATATCCTTTTCATATAGAAATATGAAGATAGCTAGTCTAAAGAACAATTTTTTAAATGTTGATTCATTTGAATGATTAAAAAGAATCTGATATCATTTCTATGTTATTCTGAACAGGGAAGGTTGCAGTATTTGGGGGTAAAGGTGTGCGTAGGAAAGTCCACACTACCTCAGCCCCACCATGGTTGGGGCCTGGCTGAGGTTTGAACATGTTGAGAATAAGGACCTCTAGATGCCTGGAAATTGCACTCCAAATTAAATTTCATTTATTTTCATCAACAATACTACAATTATTTTCTTTTAGAGGGATGCGATCATAATTCGTCTGCATCCCCTGCATCAGCCTCTGCTTAAGAAATAGTGAAGAAAACGTTGGGCTGACCACCAAGACACACTCAATAGCCTACACGAACTAAAGTAGAAACAAGGAGAGCCTCTATGATGGCTAATTGAGAGCTATGTAGACATAATTTAATGAATTCTATTCTGTTAAAATCATTTATTGTATCATCTGAGCACCTTCACAAGACCCCTTTGGAACAGATGTTCCACAATTTCCTTCATACGAGGTAAGACTCCGCTGTGGTGATAAGCTATGCCCCTCTCCAGCATCTCCCTCAACTCCATAATCTGAAAAATGCAATGCAATTTGGCAATCAAAATTTGCTTTTTTTAAAATAACAATAAATACAAATGACGTTAATAATTATTAAGCAGAGTATCCAGAATCAGTAATCAGAATTAACACAATAGAGGGCTCACTGGTAAACAAAATTACCCATAATTCATTGAACTATTATTATCTAACTTAGATATTTAAGAGCCACTCATTTCAGAGGGAGTCACAAGAGTCTCCAATAAATCGGCATGGTCTGCCATGGCACTTCCACAAGCAAGCAGTAATATCCAGAAGACTGCGTAAATTCTTCATGTTTGCATGTTTTGACTACTGTCTTGTCTTTTGGAAGTAAGCCGGAAAAAGCGTATAACCACACACAGCAAAATACTAATAGATGTGTTAGAGCTCATTTAAACCAGATCAGAAATTATTTTCCCAACTTAGAATCTAGGCCTACTGAATACACTGATAAAATATTAATGACTGTGCTGTGCTGATATTTTGTTTAAACTGTATTGCCATTGGAAGTACAGTACAAACAAAAATAAAATACTGAAATGCATTTTTCTAGATCAGAAACATAATTACAAAACATGTCACACCAGAGGACAAAACTCAAATATTTTTTAATTAAACAATTTCATTTGGTTTTAAATAGAGTGATGTTATTGTTATTCTTTGTAAATATACAAAATATCAGCTGTGGTATTTCGGCTAGTTGTTATTGCAGGCCGTGCAGGGGCTGTATGGTAGAGGATGGGTGGAGTGATACAGCTTGCTAATAGCCTGACGTCATCCAAGCAGGATTCAGTTAGCCGAAACATCGCAGCTAATAATATCTGATAGCCAGAAGAAACGTGCTGTCTAAGGTAAACAAATACATGTTAATTTACAAAGAGTAACAATCAAATTTCAAATATCTTTTGTTTTCATGCGATAAAAATTCACAAATTGAAGATTTATGAAAAGGGTAACCTGGACTAATTGCATGTTTGAATCTGACAGGGCTTCCAAAGATGTGGTTAAAAAAACTTGAATTTCACTTTTCTCATTTCGTTCTGTCAGGTCAACAGCCTGTAAAGTCAGCGCATTATCTCTGCATTTTGCTCTCGAAAATGTAAACACAATTGCTGGTAAATACTGTAACGGGTGTAGTAGAATTCTGACAAATGGCAGATACTGATTTTTTTGCTGAAAGACAAAACAAAAATCACTTAATGTCACCATTTATCATGGGCGTAGGCTGAGAATGCACTCACACCAGCAGTTTAGTTCCACTTAGTTAAAATAATACAAAGTACTATTAAGTTCCAAATTCTCAATTTCACACCCCAGTTCTTCATTTTCAATTTTCATCACCACCCCCACCTTCAGGAGGAAACCAGTCTACACCTTTCCAGAACAGATTTAAACTATAACTCTAAACATTCCCAGATCAGGCTAAAGACCAGTTTTCTCCTGCCTCATTTTATACTATTTCTTAATATTTTTGTTCTAAATAAATATACAACACTAAATATAATTCTACAACATAAATTCTTCAAATAAAAAATAAGTTTTTCAAAAAACCCAGATGATAAACATTTTAACAAAAATATTTAGCCTTAGGATGATGTTTATAGACATAAATACTATGGATGACCAAAAAAAATGTTTGACTATTAAAAGTCTTAAAACAATATTTAAATAAAAATTAATTACAATGTATTTATCTTCATAATTAATTAATAATTTACTTATTCATAAAATAATCAAACAACTATGTCCATATTGTTAAACAACTTAAATAAAATAAAGTTATTACCAATATTATTACTGCATAGTATTTCACAAAATCAGCCTGACCAGTGAGTATCAAAAATAACCAGGGGCGGATCCAGAGATGTCCAAAAAGGGGGGCCCTAAAAGGGGGCCCAAATTTGGGCCAATCGAGACACCACTATCCTAGGGGGTCCGGGGGCATGCCCTCGCGAAATTTTTGTGTTCTAGACGCCCAAAAATAACATTTAAGGGCATTCTGGGCTATCATTTTTTTTCTTTTTCTTTCTTTTTTTCTTTTTTTTTTACCTTCCAAAAGGGGAGAGGCAGGGCGTGGCCGGGTCCCCTAAATCCGCTCCTGATAACATAGAAAAAAATGATAACATTTTCTAGAGAAAATTAAGTATGTTTTGTTGTTACTATGTTTTTTTTCCAGAATTTGTTCTGGATTTTATCAAATACTACAATAATTTTTAAATCACATAGCACTTCACAAAACTATCTTCTTGTGCTTGCAATAGATTAAATATAGAATTTATTATAATAATACTGAATAAATATATAAGCAGAAGACAATATCAAACAGTACCTTTACTTTTCGTAAGCCTGCTCTCTTTTGGTTTTCATACTCAGCCCACGCTTGTCGATAGCTATAAAAATGATATTGTGACATAGCAGATTTCCGATTTCTTTATTTGTTATACATAATACATGTTTCTACTAGGTTTATCAGTACAATACTGTATATCGTTATTATATTGTACTGTTGCAGAATAAGCATGAAGCTTCCTTGCCTATTGAAGACACAAGGAGAGACAGTGATGAGAATTGAACCAGGTACCTAGTCTCTCAATACTATATTTAATCTATTTAATCTATTGTATTTATAGTTCTTTCAATTTCTTAAATTCAATACTATTGTAATTGGTTCTACAAATGTAATTCTTCTGAAATAAAAAAAAATAAAAAATGATTGTGAATGTGTCAAAGGTATTGCTCTTCCATACTATAAAAAGTAAATGATGATGATGATAATGATGATTTTGCATTTAATATGATGATGGAGGTTGTGATGATTGTTGTTCAAGTTCAAGTTAGTGGAAATGAGAGTGAATATATTTTGTATTGGAATTTGTGAAATAATGTTATTATAAATGATTATTGTCTAACATTATCACTTAATCTAATTGAGTATTTAATACAAGATACATATTTATTGCTTAACTCCAATCAGAAGTTATATCTTTTGACATAAATTATACAGAGAAGACTCAATGATTATGGTATGTACATAAATGTTTCTGTATTTTTTATGTACATACCATAATCATTGAGTCTTCTCTGTATATCTTTTGACATAAATTATACAGAGAAGACTCAATGATTATGGTATGTACATAAAAAATACAGAAACATTTATCTTTAGTAGTTTATGATTTTTATCTCAACACCTTCTTAGGCCTTACTTTCTATTGTTGAAATTTCCTAACCCATCTACAATTTCAAACAGTTGGTTTTCTTGGAAGTCCTGAGTTCCAGTATAAATGTAATGATGAAGAGGCACGGGTCGTTTTTCAGTACAAATTACATACACTGATTGTTTTTTTATCTTCCTGTTAAATATAGGCATAAGAATGAATTAAAAAAATGTTAGTATTGGAAAAATATGGACCATGTTCAACATTTATAAAAATCTTTCACATCACACATACTGTAACATATACCGTAGTTCCCCGGGTATAATCCCCCCACCATGAACGCAAAATTGGCCCGATTTTAAGGGGTGAGATTATACCCGGGGATTCCCTTGTGCATGAACAGAACGAAAATGACGATCGTTTTGCTAGTGATAGATGCATTTCAACAATTGCCCTACGATTCAATAGCCTATCAAAAACAATGTTCCAGCGAAGAAATCAGTCTTTACTCGAGCATCAAATAAGGGAACACCTTAATTGTAGTTTAGTAGGCCTAGGCGTCTTGCTAGCTAGGCCATATCTTGGTCTTACCTTGTGCTAGCTCAGCTTTTGCCTAAACTTGTTTTCTTGCATGATGTAACAAGTTATTTTTGGCAGTGAATCTCTCTGAAACAGGCGTGAAGATTTTAGCTGCATTTTTGGAACATGCGAGTCTTCACGCTGTGAATTAACGATCCGATCAGCCCACTGGGTGGGTCTCTTTAGGGATGGACCCTGGTGTTGTCTATTTTTAGCCGTAGCTAGCGAGCTGTTTATTTTTAGCCACAGTAAACAACAAAAGAATGGGCTTTGTTTTCAACTTTACGGCAACCAAAGTCCGGTCTAAGCAATTGAAGAGTTTCAAGTTAGCAGAATTCGGAGACAATTCCTTTATTTTTTGTGAGCATTTGTTAAATTTACTGACCTAAGCCTAGGCCTACTTACCCAAATTATACCCTGGGACTTTACCCGGGAAAATTCTTACACACGAAATTGGGCGTAAGTCGAGTGTGGAATTCTTACATGCGAAGTTGGGCAGTTGTTAAAATAAACGCCGGACACTTTGACACAATTACATATACATTTATCAAACGAAATTTTCGGCAGCGCCTGCTGCCTTCCTCAGCGTAAGAATGTCTAAAGTAAAAGATGACAATCTGGCTATATTTAGACAAGATAAACAATACATAGTATAACTAATGAACTGTGAAGAGCATAGCAAATCTGTAAGTACAATGTTGAGCGAATTACATGGCTCAGTAATCAGGATCAATGATATAGTTCTAAATGATTGAGAAAGGGCTATGATCGCATGGCTGTAATAAATAAGCCTATGTGTGGTGGGAAAAATAAATGTTATATTATACATAACATACTATAAAAAGTGGAAATAGATAATGATAAAACAATAAAAATTAGGGAATGTATGATATAAATATATGCGAAAAAATTAAATGGTTCAATATATGATATAAAAAAATAATAAATCTGGCATTTTATTTGGTAGATGAATATGAAGATGCAAAACCCAAATCTTTATTTGCACCGCATTTATGTGTATTTAATTTAAGAATCCATTTCAGCACATCGTCTGTCTGCTAGAGATTGAAATCTGCTGACTATAAAAATAAATTTCATACTATTCATTGAGTAGTTAGCCTGATTAAAATGTTTAACTACAGGAAGGTTATATTTATTTCTGATAGAGCTTTTGTGGTTATTATACTGTACATCTGTTATGGAAAAAGCAATCCGTTTCCCCAACATAGCAAACCCTGTTACAAGTGGTACACCAAATGAGATAAATGATGTTGTGAGCATTACAAGTGAGAGGAGGTAAATGTATTGTGATCTTGGTGTTAGGTAGTGGTAATGTAATACGTTGGTCGGTGATGAGGAGATGACATATATTGCAGTGGGAATTCTGACATGGTCGGTTACCTTGAATAGCGATGGCGGTCGGGAGTGTAGATGATGTTAAAATGGCTTTAATGTTAGGGGGTTGCATTCTGGCTAAGATGGGGGCTTCATTAAAGGCACTGATGTTAGGTAGGCTAGATGTAATTTATGGGAGGCTTTATCCAAATTGCGTTCAATGACTTTTAGTGGATACTCGCTTTGAATTAATTTGCTAATGAGAGTTCCAATGTGTTTCTTTTGTTCATCTGCAGTGTAGCAAATACATTTTATTCTGAGGGCCTTGCTATATATAAGGGAAAGTAAATATAAATTTATTATATGTGGTATAATACAGGTCTGACGTATAAATATGCGATACAAAAGTTAAAACTTACACGATCCAATTAGCAAATTCCATAGTGTTCCAGAATGTTGCACTCAGAAGAACCAGTTTTACAGTATCTGGTAGCATGATTAGAACCTCCTCCCAAACGACTCCTCTCTTAAAGAAAAAAAAAATAGGCATGCACTCCCTCTCTGGATAATTCATTATATGTCATATTATTATTCACATTATAAGTACTATATTATAATTACAGAGTTATTCCACCAATCTTATCATTTGTAACTGTGGAAATGAGCCTCTGACTATGCAACATCTCTTGTAATGTAACATCCTTGAGGATACCCGCACCATTACCGATCCTGCCAGATACAACCACAAGCTGTACTTGGACTCAATTAAGAAGAAGATTATATGTCATTGTCATAACATTTATCCCGGAAACACCAACATTGAAGATAATGGCAACACAACAGAGAACACGCACATAATCACCGAAAATCCTGTTGGGATTTGGTACTTAAAAAATGTTCTGTAAAAACACTAGACCTACATTTATATTTTAAAATAACGATTAAAATTGATCTCTTATCATCATAAATTCATATTTACTTAGTATATCAACATCATCTTTATAAAACTAAATTAAAACTATTCTGGTCCATATCAAATTATATACATTATAATTACCTACCACTTTATCACCAATGTATTGTACTTCATCGATGATAACACATTCCAGATCACTGAGATCCTGATCATACAGTTTTGACCTGATAAAAAAATTATTTGTGTGACAAATACAAAAGAAATGAAATAACTTAATACATAATAACGTAAGTAGTATGCTTCATTATCACTCTGGCCATTGAAACAAAATCATATACAGGTATAACACATACACAGCTCCCTGGGAACAGCAGTTGCATCCAACTGGTGGTCCATCGAGAGACGGACTACTGTACGCCTACCTCAGCCACAAAATGATTTTGTTATGTCATCTCCAGATGACAAAACAAATGTTTAAAATAGGTGTTTAATGAATGATGATACATGAGCATAAACCATAACTGTTTAGTGGTGTAGCCCTCATTCGCATTTGAAGACTCCCAAATAAATGGATAGCTAAAACATGATATGTGTTCTTTCTTTTTTTTAAAACAAGAAAATAAAGGAGATCTACTTTTAATGTTTATTATTCTTGAATATTAATGTATCTAAAATTAAATTTACATACACATACAAATGATATTAAGATTATTGTTCATTTCAAGTCAATAAACTTCTCTGCTCTGATTATAAATACTGTTGAATAAAAACCTTAGAATTTCAGTTGTCATGATGACACAGGAAGCACTTTCATTCAATTGGACATCTCCCGTCTGCAGGCCAACATAATCAGAACCAAATACATTCTTGAAATCCCGATACTTCTGGTTGGACAATGCCTTGATTGGTGATGTATATATTGCCCTGAAAAAAAATCACAGATGTGCAATTGAAGGAATTTATGTAAATAAAAAGTAAAAAAGGAAAAAAAAAAAAAAAAAAAAAACAAAACAAAAAAACAAAACAAAACAAAAAAACAAAAAACAAATAATCCATTTAAACAATTTTAGTCAAAACATTCCTATACTCAACCGCTCTTTAAAAAAGACAGAAAGTAATAAATAATAATAGTAAAAAGTTTATGTGTGGCTCTGAGAATCCATGCATAGGCCTTTTCCATGCTGCGGTAGACATCTTCGATTGATGACAAACAGTGCTGAGCAGTGAAGCGTAACCAACAGAAATAACATAGTGTTTTGGCCATTTTTTCGGAGGTCATGTTACTTAAAAAATCATATATCCTTAACGGAGGGTCGTGTCAACATATTTTTTTCTTTAAAATGTTCGCAAAGGATATATCTACGTACTGTATGAATAAAAAAAATTGAAGATTTGTTTAGTCTGTCAAAACTAATCAATAGTCATGGGCGGACGTCTGGTGATGAAAGAGAGCTTTTTACAACCATCTGTATACAATGTTTTTCCTACGAGGTATACAAAAAAAGGCATTCTAAAATTTCAGGGGGCTGGGAGGTCCGGATGTCGCCGATCATCTCTCTGAAACCACCGTTGCAATGGCATATTTTGAATATTTTATATCACACACTTACTTGGTACCATGTTTGCGAGAGAGAGCTATAGCATATTCCGCAACAACTGTTTTCCCAGCTGATGTGTGAGCTGATACAAACACATTGCGTTTCTTTTCCAGATGGAGTATAGCTTGCTTCTGAAACACATCCAACTCAAATTCCCACTGCAATAAAAGAAAATAATTTGTGGCATCTACTTAATACAGTACAAATTGAAAAAAACAAAGAACAAAATTACAGCAGGGGCAGATTCATAGATTATTTTCTAAATAACCTCTCAGGAATTTTGGGCAATCAATAATTTCTTTTTCTTTCTTTCTAAAATGAAACTTTCCAAATGGGTGGAGGGGCTAGGCCCTTTAAATCTACCCCTGTATGGGTCATTGTGCAACAAGTTTATTAACTTTAATTTATAAATATAATAATTAAAATAATAGTTGTTAATAGCAGAGTTGTGAACATATAGGGATAGCAAAAAACAATCCACACACACACACACACACACACACACAAGAAAGGCCACAATTCTGCATCAACACCTGAAAAAACATCAGACTATCGTATTTACAATGCCTCTGGAATGATCTTGCAAAAGAAATATGAGTTTGAAATATTTACTACAAATTACTGTATATTACAAGACAGTTATGAAGAGATATGAAATATTACACTAAAGTTATTTAAATAAGAAAACTGTATTTTTTTACACACTGAATACTATATTTTTGTTTTTACCTACCTCATGTGCCATTTCAGGAACTTCCTGTGTGAAGTTTTCAACAGATGTGTTTACCATAACTGCCTGAGGTGGCTGAGATGACTCTCTTTCTTGACTGGATGATGGTTCATCCTTGTTACGATAATCATAGTTACAATTTCATACAGTTAATATAATTTCTTTTGTATAATTGTTACCAGGAATTACTTTCCATTTACTTCTCATTAATTTATTTCTTAAATTGACACTCTTAAATATTAAACTCTGTTAAATAAGGGCTATAACTAAAAGACTGTGCTGAAATATTGACTTCAGTAATAAAACTCAATAACAGAATAATAACAGTAATAGGAACAAAAACCATTATCATGTCAACACTGTAAATGATTACATATTTTCAAATGTTGACAAATGTAGTTACACAATGGTTTCACTATACCGTATTGTACACACAGTCTCGCTTCCGATAGAAGCTGCAAAAGGATGATCTTGTCAAGTATCAAGTTTTCTGTCCATTAACCAGTGGCAGCGGTTTGTCCAGAGGTAGAAGACCCTCTGAGACAGGGAACTGTGGATCACTTTTGCAGAAGAATCCAAACAGTTTGTAGGGGAATAACACTGTTTTGAAAAAAGTGACACTTCTGGGCATCTACTAGAGGTCCTTATTCTTATAATTTGTGTGGATTGGTAATCTTGGACCTCTTGTTAGGGGATATGATATATAAAATGCTGCCTCTCACAATGAACATTCTAAACATTTCCATTTGACTTACCATTGTCAATCCAGAAGCTTGTTTCTGTTTATTGGAGTGGTCTGTGTATGAAAATGAGATGACAATCCTGAAAACATAAAAATCAAATATGGCATTTCAGATTATTTTGAGTATGCTTTAGAGCCCTGGTTCTTAATAGACGGCTTGTAGGCCAAATTTTACAGCGAGGCAATTAATTTGGCCCATGAAGAAAAACAAAATAATAAAAAAACATATTTAAAACATAGTTCAATGAACATATTTTCAACAAAGTAAACACCAAAATGCAATTCCCGGGTAATGCGCACATGGTGGTTTGATAATTAGCAAGATGATATACCGTAGGCCATAAACAGAATAAATAACACCAAAAATTGATCACTGGGTACTTTTCATGGTCCTATTTTTAACTGTGTGTAAATATCCTCAATATCCAATATGTATTAGCACTACTCCAAATTTGGGAAAACAGATGGTACATTTCTTCATTTCAAGTGTGGCATTTTTATCTTAATTACACTTACAGTGCAATCTACAAACAGTTGTGTTACATGTAAATTGAAGGTATTACGCAAGGCCAACGAAATCTAATTCTTATTTTATACACCATTCATCTTTTTTTTTAATTTTTGCATTTCAAAGTACTGTAATGCATGATGGTATGACCCAGATAAAGAACATTTACAAGTTGAAGTTAAGCTTCTTTCCTGTTGACACTGGCCTGTGGAAGAGTACCAGGAGAGTAGTTGTTATTCGCAAAAATGTCAAATTATGAGGTACAAGATGATATACTGTAGGCTTTCAATCACATTCCCATCATACGAGGGAGACCATCCCGTAATACTGTATTTCGACCTGACTTTACTCAAAAGTATTTCATTCAATTTTAAAAGAAATCATGGTATTTTTAAAGTCGGGGAGCATCATTTCTAGATGTGCCGTAACAAAGTATTCATGCCTCAGATGAAGTGTTGGACTTATTTTGTTTCTTATTAAATGTATTTATTCATAACAGATAATGTCAGGCAGTATAACTGTGATTGAAATTAAAACATTTCCCAGTTAAATCAATGTTTGCGACAGTTCCCCCATAATTTCAATAATTTGCTAAAAATAGTCATGGTGATGGGCGTCGAAGTTGAAAACTACATAGATTCAGGCAAGCAAATAGCACTTTTTTTTATAATAACCAGTAACATTTTTCTCAGACTCAATCTTATTTTTTGGCCAATTTCAGGTTGAAATGTTCTTTTTTTACACACTTTTCAAAGATACAAAATTAATGAAATTAAACCAGTTTTTATACAATATTTAAAATATATACAATACACTTGCAAAATAAAAACAGTCCTCAATCATCAAAAAAAAAAAAAAAAAATACCCCACACTCATCACTTTTGTTTTTATAATTTTGTCTATGTGCCCTTACAGCACTACCATATTTACCCACCCGCCTTATTTAAAGCTTATGCAATCGATCCTACCTGCTTTTCAGCCTCCCTCTTGACACTGGCCTGTGGAATAGTACCAGGAGAGTAGTTGTTATTCGCAAAAATGTCAAATTATGAGGCACAGGAAAAACTAAAATATGCCTATATATTATACATTGATAATCAATAATTTGAAAATATTTGGTCTACGATTGGCCTTAACGAATGATTGTACCAGAAAAGCAAACAGGCACTATCTCTTTTATTTACACTGATTTCCGTGTTGGATTTTCCCACTTTAGAAGAATTTTCTAGTGGGAATTTACTCCCTGCAACTGAAGCTTCACTGTGATTGGCTCAGTGTATTGCATGGCTGAATGTATTTCAACATCAGCTTGTTTTACCAGGGACTGAGAGACTGCAACTATACAATAAGTATAGTTGTCTCAGCCAGTGATTATTTTATCACATTGCTCCCTGGTTTTACCAGTACTGTACCTGTACAGGGAGTTATTATTGAACTGATGTGGATGTGGACTCAAGTCACCCGTCTACCGGGAAAAAGCTGGCGTCACCCTAGCCAAAAATACAGGATAATGCTAAAAAATAATGATAATATTTGTACTGTAATGCAAATAAATGATCAGTGGTGCCTGGCTAATGTGCACAGGGTAGTTTGAAAATTAGCAAGATGATATACCGTAGGCCATAAAACTGAATAAATAACGCCAAAAATCGATCACTGGGTACTGGGTGCTTCAAACAAGCCATAAACGCATTATGATTTAGGGGTTACCCCACTTAGATCTAGTAGTTGTAGTTGTTATTCGCAAAAATGTCACATTATGAGGTACAGGAAAAACTAAAATATGCCTATATATTATACATTGATAATCAATAATTTGAAAATATTTTGTCTACGATTGGCCTTACAGAATGATTGTACCAGAAAAGCAAACAGGCACTGTCTCTTTTATTTACACTGATTACCGTGTTGGATTTTCCCACTTTAGTAGAATTTTCTAGTGGGAATTTACTCCCTGCAACTGAAGCTTCACTGTGATTGGCTCAGTGTATTGCATGGCTGAATGAATTTCAACATCAGCTTGTTTTACCAGGGACTGAGAGATTGCAACTATACAATAAGTATAGTTGTTTCAGCCAGTGATTATAAACAGCTAATTAACTAAAGAACAGTGCTTATAAAAATACATTTCCATTGTCATGCAAATAATTAAAGTCATACACGACTCTATATGCAGCCATGTTCTGTCTTGTTTTTACGATCACATGTATAATGATCAGATAAACTCTAAGAATAATATGGCCTGTCAAACAAATTGGTTAAGAACCAGGCCTGGGATTTATCAATCTCAGCTTAGCAAATGTCCTAAGTCAAAAAAGTTTAGAAGTCCCTAAGCAAATATCTAAAGCTGATTTATCAAACTACTGTATCTTAGCAAAATCTTAGCTTAAAATCATCTTAGATGGTTCATGCGTACAATCGACTTTTTAATTTTAAGCAATTTTTAAGTTAAGGCAATAATGATAAATTTGACTTAAGCAAAAAAATGGACTCAAGATGAACTTAAGCTGATTTCTAGTTTGATAAATCCGGCCCCAGGGCTTTAGAGCATAAACATGAATATTTTGATATATCGGGTTGGATTTTGAAGGGCTAATTATAGGCTTTCAATCAAATAAATAATCAGTGGTGCCTGGCTAATGTGCACAGGGTGGTTTGAAAATTAGCAAGATGATATACCGTAGGATTTCAATCACATTCCCCATCATATGAGGGAGACCATCCCGTAATACTGTATTTCGACCTGACTTTACTCAAAAGTATTTCATTCAATTTTAAAAGAAATCATGGTATTTTTAAAGTCGGAGAGCATCATTTCTAGATGTGCCGTAACAAAGTATTCATGCTTCAGCTGAGGTGGGGCACTTATTTTGTTTCTTATTAAATGTATTTATTCATATTTATAACAGATAATGTCAGGCAGTGTAACTGTGATTGAAATGATATATTAAAACATTTCCCAGTTATATCAATGTTTGCGACAGTTCCCCCATAATTTCAATGATTTGCTAAAAATAATAATGGTGATGGGCGTCGAAGTTGAAAACTACATAGATTCAGGCAAGCAAATAGCACTTTCTTTTTTTTTTATAATAACCAGTAACACTTTTCTCAGACTCAATCATATTTTTTGGCCAATTTCGGTTGAAATGTTCTTTTTTTACACACTTTTCAAAGATACAAAATTAATGAAATTAAACCAGTTTTTATACAATATTTAAAATATATACAATACACTTGCAAAATAAAAACAGTCCTCAATCATCAAAAAAAAAAAAAAATACCCCACACTCATCACTTTTGTTTTTAAAAAAGAGTGATAATCTAATAATTTTTTCTATGTGCCCTTACAGCACTACCATTTACCCACCCGCCTTATTTAAAGCTTATGCAATCGATCCTACCTGCTTTTCAGCCTCCCTGTTGACACTGGCCTGTGGAAGAGTACCAGGAGAGTAGTTGTTATTCGCAAAAATGTCAAATTACGAGGCACAGGAAAAACTAAAATATGCCTATATATTATACATTGATAATCAATAATTTGAAAATATTTGGTCTACGATTGGCCTTACAGAATGATTGTACCAGAAAAGCAAACAGGCACTGTCTCTTTTATTTACACCGATTTCCGTGTTGGATTTTCCCACTTTAGTAGAATTTTCTAGTGGGAATTTACTCCCTGCAACTGAAGCTTCACTGTGATTGGCTCAGTGTATTGCATGGCTGAATGAATTTAAATTTTATCTTGTTTTACCAGGAAATATACAATAATATAAATATACGATATCACACTACTCCCTGGTTTTACCAGTACTGTACCTAAAAAAAACCTGAAATTTTTTAAAATTTAATATTATTGATTATATATTTACAGATACAGATTAGATTTATTATCTAAAATAAGGAAATTACAGCGCTCAGTTAAACTTAATGAAACAATGTAATATTAATGCCTAATAATGATAATAAATTAATAATAATGATGATGATAATAATAATAATAATAATAATAATAATAATAATAATAATAATAGTAATGATAGTAATAATAGTAATGATTATGTTAATTATTTGTTAAATATCTTTCATAAAAATTATAACTGCAATTATATTTATTAAACAATGCAGAATGTGAGACATTGTCTCGACTGATGCGGCTTTAAGAGAGAGCCTGGAAGAATTTAGAGAAGGCGATGGAAAACACTCAAAGAAATCAGCAACTTTTATCACCTTAGTAACAAATGCATATGAAAAGTGTGATAACAGGAATATTGATACAAGAGATGGACCTTGTTTGCCACATCTAAGTATTAAAGATGGAATTTAATTTTGACGATGACCAAGAAGTTTAAGTCAAATGGTAAGTAAATGCACTTTGATTGAGCCAACATGGCTTAATTTAGAATTATGTTTATTTTATTGTCAAATTAACATCCACTATTTACTGCATGTCAATACCAAAATGATACAAACTACGAGTATTGTTGAATTGGATAATACTACTGCAATGTTGAAGTAAAAACAATTTTACAATTAAGGTTAAAAACTGACGTTTCAATAGTGCAAATACATGTATTAAAATCAGTTCACAAACTGTAAAACTTGTCGTAATATCTTCAGAATTGGTAGTTTATGGAAGTAAAGACAAAGAACTATATGGTGATGATACAGACAAACTAAGGGATGCCACACTCTCTCCATCCTGGCAGAGACAGGCATTCTAAAATGGGTGTTGAATTCTGAGTAAAATGTTTTCAGTGGTATTCACTGATAGACATCATATTTTGTTGTTTCCTGTAGAACTTTGTAGCTTAGTTTGTTTCCCAGCTGCAGTGCATCACGTGATGTAATCAGTGAAAGATTGAAAGCAGCAACGACAGAAGAGGACGTGTCGGGGTGACATAACTTTGTGGAGTTATATATAACATTAAGCTGCGAGTGCCACATGATCTCGTCGCAGTTTGTTTAGAAGCTACAGTGCATCACGTGATGTCGTCGCTGAAAAATTAAAAGCTGCGATGGCACAAGCAGAGGACGTGCCGGGGTGACGTAACTTTGTGGCATTATACATTACACTGTAAGCACCACGTGATGTCGTCGCTGAAAATTTGAAGGCTGCGATGACAAATATGCCGTAGTTAAGAACAATTGTAGATAGAAAAAAATAGATTTCAAAGATCACCACACAAAATACATTTAAGATAGTAGAATTGGTGATTTCTGGAAAGAAAGGTGAGGACATATATTTTGAGGATACAAACAAATCAAGGAATAACATTCTCTGTCCGGCCTGGCAGAGGCAGGTATTACAAGATGGGTTTTGCAAAAAAAAATATGAAAATTGTCTTTACTTTTTCTAGTGTTGTTGTTAGTAAATAGTTAGTAGATATTATTTGTATTATCTTAGTCATTTATTGTATTTTACTTTGAATATCAATGCACCAGCAATGCACCCAAGGGTGATTTGGCTTAAGCAAATAAACATAAAGAGCCTCTCCCCATCATCAATTTTCCATCTTGTATTATAGAGATTAACTAATAATTTGTTTTTTAATGGGCCTTACATATTTTTGGTAAAATTTTATTAACAATATGAAACAGTCCAAGCTGTGTGCTGGAATATGAAATGCAGTTGAGATAATGACAAAGAATCAAAAGTCAAATGAAGAGTGCACAATGCCTTTTGATTGAGCAAACATGGCTTTAGGATTGTAATTATATGTCAAACATATTCACATCCACTTACTGCATGCCAATACCTGTACCAAAATGATAAAAATATAGGAGCATTTTTGTTAAGGAGGGTACAGGTTAAACACCTACAATGTATAACCATAACAACGATTGAAAATAAATTATGACAAGCACAATGACACAGTGAAATTGAAATGACAGGAAACTAATTATATGTTGCAAGGAACAATGTTCTAAATAGAAAGTTTAAAAATTTGTTTTTGCATAAACTAGTAATTTGGTTATAATTAAATTAATGTTAATTTTTGCCATCTGTTTTCTTATCTTCAAAGTTTAATTCAAGTAATAATTGCAATGGAACAATTGGTGTAGATACTGGTAGCACTACAAGATTTTTTTTTGGTAGTTACTGTACATGTAAATTTCTGCCAAGTATTAACAGTCTGTAATTGTTGCTTTAAGATAATAAGAATCAGTATGTTTAAAGTTTATCAAGTTACATGCATGGGAAAAACGAAACAGTTTAAACGAAATAAGTTTATTAAAAATTAGAAGACCACCAGCATTAAATTCAATTTTCCTATTAATATGCTCTGTAATTTATAACAGTTGAGTTTAATTGACTGTTATTTGATGTTGTTGTTCCTTAATTATCAAATTCATTCCTATTTTTAAAATTTATGACGTTCTCTTGCCATCACTGAAAACCAGCAACTGTTTTTTATTTTATTATCCTTGATGCCAAGCTGTTTAGAAAGTAAAATTTGCTTTTAGTCAATCAGGTATAACTTGCTGCACTTTTCTTCAAAAGTCCATCAATGAAGTAGTGTACGGTATCAGGACTGTACCAATTTGTTCATTGTGTTACCTCAGTATACAGTTTTCTGATACAATCATCAATTACTATAATTTTAATGTAGCGTATATCGTATAGTATAATCAATAATAACAGGTCTCGGGTACAATCCGATGATTTTGTTTTCAAGACAATTCCACAGGTTATGGTTGTGTTAACCAATTTTGTGTCTGCCCACTGTGGTTTATTCAAACTGCATTACTTGATGTTATGGTAGCTGTTATCTGGCACAGGAACTGTTCGTATAGGTTGGCAATTTTGATATTTGTGACATGTAAATACAAGGCAACTGCTATGTATTTTCAGTTCTTTTTTTCTACTGTACCTCCAAGGCCAAATGTTCTTCAGCAAGAAAATGTCATCAAAAATTTATCATAATTACTATTTCTAGCTAAAGGTGAACAAATCCAGGCAGTGATTCCAGATCAGGTAGTTTGCTATTCTTATGGTGTTGACATGGCCTTGGAGAAGAAAAACTCTTTGTTTGTGGCACACTGGTCGAGAATGATGGTTGTAATACACATACTGTCACAGAATCTCATAGCACTCCATCTACTTGTATAACTCTTTTGGCCTTGCACACTGTGACAGCTGTACAAACAATGTTCTCTTTCACAGCACAGGTAGGTGATGTGATCCTTCAGGCAGAATGTTAATTCAAAAAGTAACTTTTATTACAGTTAAAGACAGCGACTTTAAATTGGGAGAGATGCTGGGAGTAGTTGCCATGTTGGCAGATCACTTGATGATGATGATGACTCTTATTACATTTCATGACTTCGAACAATTTCAGGCACAGTTTCTTCAATGGTGATCTTGTTTGAAAAAGAAATACTTGCTTCAGTAATTTTATTTGATATTACTGATGAAATAGACAATTGCTGGTTATCAACTAATGAGCATTAGAGCACATTATTATTTGATGGCTAAAGAAATAATCACAGATTTATGCACAAAATGGAATATCTTTCAAATTTACGAAATTTTTGTTATGTTTTTGAATTTACAGCTGGTGGAAATAGTAGGATTATTACACATTCACAGAAAGAGCTATTTGGAAGTTATTAGAGAAACAAAACTGATATTTCAATAAAAACTTACAGAAGGAAAAGAACAATTTAAGTATAAAAACAAAGAGAATCTAAATGTAAAAATAGAATTTAAAAGTAATTCATGATAATATCTAATATCTGACCAATGTTTGAATATGTTGTAAAAAAAAACACACATTAAACATATTCACCTCTCTTGAGGTGACAGTTGGATGTATTTCTATATTTGTTACATTTTGATATAATGTATAGATTCTGTTTGGAGAGTTCCATAACATACAAGCAGATTTGTACAACATTAATGTTCATCCAAAAATAAAGTTTGAAAATTCTAAATGTTTTGATTTGGATTAACAGGAAAAATAAATTATGTAAATCATCAACGATTAATAAATATTAATTTGGTGTTATAATTGAATTGATGAACTTTTTAAAGTTAAATATGCAGTGGAATACTCTTCCCAAAAACATCATTAGCTTATCACCAATAGCATTAAAGAAGATTTGACCAACCACCTCAGACCATCAAACCTCAGGCAGTAAATACCTCAGTGGTTCACTCATCATCCTTCGCACTTGACTTCAAGTTTGAAGTGTTGCGGAGTAACCTATCAAATCCAAGTCAAATGCAGTAAGTAGTTTCTGCTTTTACGAATGCAAATTATTAGCAACGAGTTTAAGCACCTAAATTTTGAATAGAATTTGATTAGGAAATAAAGAATGTATTGCATTTCAAACAGACCTATTAAAAACTAGTTTCTAAGCTAAGTGCTCTAATACAGATCATGCCTTCTGAGGACTTCATAGGGAAGATGTTGAGAATGTGGAGTCTCAGACGTATTCAAGACGATCCACGCCAGACAAATAATGAATTGGATATTACTACTGGATGTTAAGGAAAAAAAAAATGTGGTATTTTATAAATTAAGAGGTTTCAATACAAACAGAGGTTTCAATACAAATACATGTACAGTACAGTATTCAAATCAGCTCACAAACTGTAGAACTTGTCATAATATCTTCAGAAATGGTAGTTTATAGAATGAAAGACAAAGACATAATTTTGGTGATACAAACAAAGGAAGGACTGCCAAAGTCAGTCCAGCCTGGCAGAGGCTGGTATATTAAGATTGTTGTTGAATTACGAGTAAAATGTTCAGTGGTATTCACTGATACACATCATATTTTGTTGTTTCATGTATAACTTTGTGGCGTTATACGTAACATTCCACTGTGAGCGTCACATGATCTCATCTCAGTTTATTTAGAAGCTGCAACACATCATGTGATGTCATCGGTGAAGAATTAAAATCTGCGACGACAGAAGCTGTGGACTACGTGAAAGGGATGAACAGATCTTAGTGGCATTATATAAAACATTATGCTGTGAGCGTCACATGATCTCATCTCAGTTTATTTAGAAGCTGCAATGCATCACGTGATGTCATCGGTGAAGAATTAAAATCTGCGACGACAGAAGCCGTGGACTACGTGAAAGGGATAAACAGATCTTAGTGGCATTATATAAAACATTATGCTGTGAGCACCACATGATCTCATCTCAGTTTATTTAGAAGCTGCAATGCATCACATGATGTCACAGCTGAAAAATTAAAATCAGCGGCTACAGAAACAGTGGATGACGTGCCGATGGTGAACAAAAATTTGTGGCGTTATATATAACATTACGCTGTGAGCGCCACATGATCTCGTCATGATCTAGACATCATATTTTGCTGTAAAATTGTCAAGAGCGCACTACGTGATGTCGTCGCTGAAATTTGAAACCTGCGAGGACAGAAGCAGTAACGGAAATAACATGGGTGAGTAGAATCTCATGCAGTTATTAAATAGCATTGTGCTGCACGCGCCACCCAATATCATCAAACTGTTTAGCACCGCAGTGCATCACGTGATGTCGTCGCTGAAAATTGAAAGCTGCAACGACAGAAACAGTAGATGATGGAAAAATATAACTTTGTGCCGTTATTGTACGTAACATTGTGCTGTACACGCCATGCAATCTCGTCAGATTGTTTAGAGGTTGCAATAGAGATTCAAAAGAATTTACTGTTAAACATGGAGTAAATACCTTTTAACACAAGAATACTAAGTGCCGTCTATTAAACTAAATTGGCCACATTAAGCATACTGTATACGATACTGACAAATTGACATCACCACACAAATTATATTTAAGATAGTAAAATTGGTAATTTGTTGGAAGGAAGGTGAGGACATATATTTTTTAGAATAAAAACACATCAAGTTCCGGCCTGGCAGAGGCAGGTATTCAAAGATGGGTGTTGAATATATTCAGTGGTATTCACTGATAGACATCATATTTTGCTGTAAAATTGTCAAGAGCGCACTACGTGATGTCGTCGCTGAAATTTGAAACCTGCGAAGACAGAAGCAGTAATGGAAATAACATGGGTGAGTAGAACCTCGTGCCGTTATTAAATAGCATTGTGCTGCACGCGCCACCCAATATCATCCAATTGTTTAGCACCGCAGTGCATCACGTGATGTCGTCGCTGAAAATTGAAAGCTGCAACGACAGAAACAGTGGAAGATGTGAAGATTAGTAGAATTATGCGTCATTACAATTGTCATCACCAAACAAAATACATAAAGATCACCAACCATAGATGCTCTGATCAGGGTTCTCTAAGATGGGTGCTAAATAAAATGTTTACAATGGTATTTACTGATATGACGGCTGTGAAATTATGTTTGCAATCTGCGATGATAGAAACAGTCGACTATGTGCTGCCAGTGAGCAAAATTATGTTTGCAATCTGCGATGACAGAAACAGTGGAATATGTGATGCCGGTGAGCAGAATTGTTTGCAATTTGTAACAAGAGAAGGAGTCGACTACGTGCTCAGTGAGCAGAATTAATGTGGCGACGAGAAAAGTTGTCGACTACGTGCTGCTGATGAGCAGAATTGTTTTTCAAGTTGCGACGAGAGAAGGTGTCGACAACATATTGCCATTGAGAAGAATTATGTTTGTAATCAGTGACGACAGAAACTGTGGACCAAGTGCTGCCGATAAGCAGAATTATGGTTTGTAATCAGGGACGATAGAAGCTGTGGACTACGTGCTCACAGTGAGCAGAATTAATGTTGCATGTTGCGACGAGAAAAGATGTTGATTACGTGCTGCCGATGAACAGAATTGTTTTTCAAGTTGCGACAAGAGAAAGCGTCGACTGCGTGCTCACAGTGAGCAGAATTAATGTGGCGACGAGAAAAGTTGTCGACTACGTGCTGCTGATGAGCAGAATTGTTTTTCAAGTTGCGACGAGAGAAGGTGTCGACAACATATTGCCATTGAGAAGAATTATGTTTGTAATCAGTGACGACAGAAACTGTGGACCAAGTGCTGCCGATGAGCAGAATTATGGTTTATAATCAGTGACGATAGAAGCTGTGGACTACGTGCTCACAGTGAGCAGAATTAATGTTGCATGTTGCAACGAGAAAAGATGTTGACTACGTGCTGCCGATGAGCAGAATTGTTTTTCAAGTTGCGACGAGAGAAGGTGTTGACTACGTACTGCTGGTGAGCGTAATTATGTTTGTAATCAGTGATGAGAGAAGCAGTTGACTAAGTGATGCTGGTGAGCAGACCTATGTTTGCAATCTGCGAGGAGAGAAACAGTGAACGAAAAACGGCTGACAGCAGAGACAATATATGGAATGCGTCATGTTATTCTGTTCCCTTTACCTTTTATAACATCACAAAGCACTGAGAACCATGGAGCCTGTAAAAAGGGTTTGTACTACAGGTGATATGCTAATGTGACTAGCCTGATGCACAAATACAAAGAAAAACTGATGGACAAAATCAATTTGCGGGGGAGGGGGATGAAGATGAAGTAGGGCTTGATGATTAGGTAATGAGGAGAGCCAGTTTGGAAAATAAGGTGATTTGAGGTAATCTATAACTACAAGCCAAGATTCTGGTGGGGGGAGGGGAAGACAAGTAGTTCTTTTGGGGGCATGCGCTTCCTTTAGAAACGAAACTGTTGATGAATGATGTACTGACTGATATAAACAGAAAACTGGCATAAGAGCAAAGATGGATAGTATAAGCTTTACCTAACAGTTATCTGGATTGAGGTACAGTTCGCTATCGAATTTGAGTTGTGTTCTGTGTGCTACAATTGATATTGTGTCCACAATGCATGGTTAAAGGACAATTATTAAGTTTACGTATAATACCTTCAATTCATTGACAAGGCTTATCATAGCAGATATGAATGGTTGTCTCACATGTTCTTAGTTTAAAGCCTTGCCCAGGCTATCAGATTTTTGTTAACAAAAATATACCTAAATATGATCATAGTGACATCAAATCATGAACATATAGGCACATCATGACTGCATATAATTGGCAATCAACACCTTATTTTTCAAAGATAATGTGAACACCTGGGCAAAGCTTTAAACAACAACTGATATAGGCTGTACATCTGAAATGCTCAATCACATCTCAACCACGGTTGTAGGAAACATAAGCCTACTACTGAGACAGTAGATAATGGATTAACAACATTTATCTGATTAGATCTTCCATTCACAGACATCAATCTGTCCGTTTGACTCCATTGGATTGTTGAACAGTATTTCATCCACATCCAGATGTTGTCTGTGCCAACAAATCTTCATAAGAACATCTTTCAAATCTGTAAAGAATGAATAAAAAGCATTTTATATGGTTTTTAAATTACATTAACAACAAATTCAAGAATGACTCTCTAACTATTTAGTTGTGGAGACATCATCAAATTCTGGGCTCAACGTACTTAGAAGTCATTGAGATTGAACATTTTTCATGCATAATTAAGCTAGCACAAATTCTTTCAATGTACTTGTGTAATCGAGAAGCTTACCAAAATCCTGAAGCTACTCTGTTTCAGAATGGCACATGCAGGTGGCGGTGTTTTCTGTTGGGAGGTTGTTGACAGTGAACTGCGTATGTTAGATAAGTGGCAGATCTAGGCAGTGTTTTCTGTAAGGTGGTTGTTGACAGTGAACTACATGTGTTGCATGTGGCAATGGAATCCATGCTTGTTGACCTACAATAAAACAGAGGCATATTGAGATCATAGACAGCGGGGTGCCAGAAATTGCCTACAAGGGGACCGACGTGGCGTGACGGTGGGGTCCGAACCAAGGCGGCGACGACAAAGCCTTGGTTGACGGCCCAGAATAAAAAAAAATTAATGTTAGTGTTCATGGGGAGAGTTTTTTTGCCTTAAATTGGTCCTAAATGTCCTTTTAGACTGCCAATGGGATTGGCAATCAAAATAGCATTATTTATTATTATATTATTTCTTTACTTAATTTTCGGTCCGATGACCTAGTCGTCCGTCGGACTACAGGGGGGTCCAGGCCTGTCCGAGGGGTGGTAAATGCCCTTGCCCCTCCCCCACCCCGCTGGCGCCAAACCTGGTCATAGAGCCTCATTATCACAGGTCTGCTAAAGCCCTGTACACACTACCAAATTAACTTGGGCATACAACAGTTTTTTTTTTAAAGAAAATATATTTAAATAGGTCTAGCCTACCCTAGGCCTCAGACAACAATTAAAGAAAAAATAGGATTAAAGTGCAATTTTCAGTCACTGTCTACAAGGTCTTGGAGTGTTCTATTTAAATCAATAGACAACACTACCTTGGCTAGGCGGGGCCCGGGGCATACCATGGCAAATGTTTGTTTTATTAGACGCCTGGAAATAACATCTGAGTTGAAGCATTTTGGGCGATCAATAATTTGTTTCTTTTTTTCACTCTCCAAAATTCCACCCCTGATAGGAAAATTTTAGGTTTTTAATTTGTCTCAATATTAACCTATTAATTTTATTATGTCATGATTTTATCATTTTATTGTTAGGTCCCCACCCAAAACAAACTTGCCTTTTATCACTATCATCAGTATTTGGCCTAGGCTATAGGCCTAGGTTAGGTTTGCGCAATTTTGCTAAACTTTCGATGTTAGTTTCAAAAGAATATTAATAAACTAGGATACAGTAATTATTGCCAACTGTATAATAATAATATAAAATCCCTGACTCATTGACCACGCCTAAGACTTCCTACTAACCTACTCTACTTCCTGTACCTTACTCCTGGCCTTAGGGATCCTTAATCCTACTACTTATTTTTATACCTCCTTGCTACTTCTGTACTAGCCTACTGGGTTAATACTCAAATCTCAGAATTGCTAATCGGACAATGCTGGTAACTTCAGCACTTTCGTCCAATGTGGACTCGTGAAGACTGCCTCCTCTCAATGTTTCCATGTGTCGGTCATAGGAAAAGTGGTGAAATGCTGTGCATGAGAATACACGTTGTGGTAAGTTGTCCCATGGTTGCTACTGCTTAACTATGTAGCCTTAAAAAGGGGTACTGTATGTATGCCCAAGACAATGCCTAAAAAAGCCTAGCCATCTAGCCTAGTAGTTAGCCTAGCCTACTAGTAGGTTCACTATTGTTTTACGTCGTTTAACACGAAAATTATGTAATTTCACAAAAATCTACGACGGTAGTAAAATGTGAAAACGTACCCTATAGTAACAACCATCTCCGTACAGCAATGAAGCGTTTTAAAATGCTTAAAACAGTTCACTTCCTGATGTTACGGAAGCTCTACCTTTCGTCGCCACGTAGCATACTGTATTTTAGGCCCCTGGATGTGTGACGCAGGGTTCCCGAAACGCCGCCCTCAGCGGCGTGTGCATAAAAAAAGTAATGAATCAATAAGATCTCGATAGAGGGCAAAGCGAATCAACAGCGAATCCGCACTGTGCACAAAGTACACGCTGGAAGAGTAAACAAACCGAAGCGTACAGTTTTAACAATACAACACTGCTTACTGTACTACTACTGAGGTCTAGTCATCCTCCTAGGCTAGGCCTACTACTTATCTCTGGTTAGTAGTTCACAATCATTCACTTTGGGGTATAAAGTGATCCTTATTAAAACCGCAACTCTCTCTGTCTGCCTCTGCTGGCCATGTATAGCTATATAAGCCTAGCCTAGCTAGGCAGTATCTATGCAGGGAGTTGTTATTTTATTTAGGGCTCTATCTATGCCCAGTGTTGAGGCCAGTCCTACCCCAGCTAGGCTAGGCCTAGATAGATTTATTTTAGCTAGAACAGGTTAGAGACTACCATACCATGACTAGACCAAGACCTGGGCCTGGTAGTATTGGATTTTATTTTTCTAGGCCCAGTGACCGGATCATCTGATGAACTTGTTAGAAGCCTTTTTCAGCTCAGTCATCAGACTTTGTTGCTCTCTACAGAATCTGTTGTTGTTAGCATGAGTTCTGCATCGTGTTATACATTTGGTCAGTATGTTTTGAAGGCATCGCAAGTTTTTATCCGCTCGAGGTTATCAATTGCCTTTGTAAACAGGAAACCAGTTGTACCTGGGCGTATCCTTTTGAATGAGTATGTACAGGGTATATCAAATATCCATTAATTTAATAAGTGTGCTGCAAATGTTAATCATAGATGCACAGTCAATGATGTTTTATTTTCTTTTATCTATTTAGATTTTATAATTATTTTAAGACAAAATAGGGGCGTGGACTTCTTTTGGCATGGGGAATGTGTGACAGTTGCAAATTTTGAACTTTAAATCTTTTATTTTTTTATTTTTCCCACTTAGCAGAACTAATTTGCCACCCTTGGGAATGTGCCTGCCCCCCTCACCCCAGCCTATGCTCTTGAAATAATTTGCAGTAAAATTTCAAATTTAGGCCTACAGAAATGCATAGTAATTTACATCAAAATATCATAGATAATAAAGGTATTTACCATTAAATTATTGTCCATGTTGAGAACGCCCGCTTACGCTGGTGCTGCCACTGAAACCAAGTTTCAATCCAAAGCCGGACACTCACTGTGGTCGACGGGCATTGGCCACTTTGATTCTACGAAGAATGCAACATGACAACGCGCATCCAACAGATCATTTTAATGACGATATGTTCATACTTCCACCGACAATCTGCAGCTGGAGTCGCATCATCTGGCGTTACCAGAGAGCGGAGTTACGACCGTCGTACGACGCAGTTAGAGTCCAGCTTTGGGAATGGTGTTGTTTTTGAGCTTGAGATAAAAAATTATGTGTATATTTTAAGAGTATTTGGACTTAGGAACCTGTTGTAGACAAGACTGCTACAGCTGTACTTACATTATATTCTGTGGTATCTGTGATATTTCCTTAACATTTATTAATATTAGATGTTCTTGTTTCACCTATCAGGGTGGTTCACAGGTTTCGAGACATGACAATTGAAGAGGTCAGTGACCTATTCCTAGTTTCCCAGCTTGTTTCCATGGAGATTCAAACACATCATCTCTGTCCATCCTTCACCCTATCAATGCAGGTATGAATTTTGGTAGCTAAATTAAACTTGGTAATTTGATTTCATGCTATTCTTTTCACATCTTTACATTTTATGGACAAAACACATTTTTCTACCCGGGGGTTCACTCTTAAATATTTCTGTATGGGGAGGTGCCGCATTTACGGGGTATATTTTTGAGGAATTGGTAGCACAAGTGTGGGAAATATGGGGGAGTTGCAACATTTTATGGGGTATACTTGCGAGGACTTTGTAGTGCAAGTGTGAGAAATAATCGGGGTGAAACTGGAAGTCCCTGGCCTATTCTGTGTCAAAGTGCCACGATTTTCCCAACAATCTTAAAGGGAATTTCAAGCTAGACTGGGTGCTAAGCCGGTGAAGCCCCTTGCTAAGCCTACCTTTAGTACAGTCCGAGATTGAGAACAGACGGAACACTTTTTTCATCAGGAACTTGTAAATATTGCGCCCTCTTTCGCATTATTGAGTGCCCTTTTTCCTGTTGTCTTTTAGAGCACAGTGCGATTTTGGTAAATGGTAGTTTAAGTCCATAAGAATTTCAGTAAAATATGTAGCGCAAGTGTCTTATATCTTGAAGTGACTGCAGCATCCCCCTGTTTGGTTGGTATTCAAGTGAGGTCCCCAGGCTTTTTCAATCTGTTGACATGGTGGCTGTCAAATTTTTGTGTACTCTATTATTTGAAACTAAGCACAAACAATAACTGCAGTGTATTTAATTTTCAGGATGGAAAAGAAGCTGGACAAACTGTCCATGTAAGTATAAGAGTAACACTAATTGATAATGTCATATCAATTCTTGATGATGCCATATGAATTCTTGATGATGTCATATGTATAGCATATCAGTAGTTCATGATGTCATAATTGTGAGGTTCCTTTATAAGCATCTGTGGCCTCATGCTAAAATTGATGATAAATTAGGACAATGCCATGATAAGAAGAAAGAGTTAAAATGAAAAGAAAATAATGCCTTTAAAGATCTTCATGTTTATTCTTTTTTAGTATTTAAACTTATGATATAAATAAGACAGACCTCTCTCATGAAACAAATTTATAATAACTATAATAATCATATCAATAATATTATTTCTATTATTCTAGCATGTACATGTCCACATTTTACCAAGGAAAGCTGGAGATTTTCAGAATAATGATGATATTTACACTGAGGTAAGAGATTGCAATTGTGTTTCCCAATTGTAGCTGTATATGTTTGTGTTTAGAATTCTCTGTCAATGAGTATAGTATGTTCAATACTGGTAATGCTTTATAGATTGCGATAATGCATAATTATAGACTACAGTTGTGGAAGTGGTTTGGTTTCCCAACTTTGAGGTCGGGGTTTCAATCCTTTGCTGTGCTCGCTGTGCATTTCGCTTGTGTCCTTGAGCAAGAACTTTATCTGCATTGCTTCTCTCCACCCAGGAGTATAAATGGGTACCTGGTGGGGTTGCTTGCTCCTGCGCTGAATACAGCAGCAACACTTAAGCATATGGATCCAAGGACCAGGGACAGAAGCGCTTCGTATCTGCATAGAAAGGCGCTATATAAATAAATATATATGGATGAATATGAATACAGTTCTATTTTAACGATGGGAAACATATTCTGTTTCTTGAAGAATATTTCAACCTGCCAGACTACAGTACCCAGTTGTGCTATTTAATCCTCGGATTAAAATTCCAAAAGTGTTCACACAAACGGCGTTAATAGCTACAGTATATTAATGCTGCCATTAAACTAGTATTAATGTAGGCCTATGAGGGAATAATTTTCGGTTTTAAATAATGCCTTGGTTACAAAATGTTAAGGCTGTGAAACACCCACAGTACTACATCACACTGAAGACTGAGATTGTCTTATAAATCAGTTGTAAAAGTAATAGTAATACGTTCTGTTAGAGCTTTTACTGCCCTTTGAAGTTCATATTTTTAAAGGTTTTTAATGAATGCTTCCATATCTCCTTCACAAATTATCATTCTCTGCTCTAGTCTATTTATAATCAAATGCCAGCTGTTTGCAACATGTTCCTCTGCAACACTATGCAGTCCACTGATGTGTTTTATTTCATCTGGAGTCATTGCCATTCCTAGATTTACAAGTCTTTGCCGCTGCGGTGTAAATTCTGCGATTACAATATTCCTGATATCATTTGGTATTAGGAATGATGGATGTCAATCATTAATTAACTGTTCCAGACAAAATTAATTAATTTTATTTTGTGATTATTTTTTTCTTTCAATTTCAGATTGAGAAACATAATGATAGTCTACATCTTGATAATCCTGGAGATCAATGGAGGTCAGATGAAGAAATGGCAGAAGAAGCATCTATATTAAGGAAACTTTTTGACAAAAAATATACTCAAAATATTGAATAATACATAATTAAATTTTATTAATTCTCAGGGGTGTAAATTGAATTTTTTTTATTGATATTAACTAAAAGGTATTTTTATAAAATTTAATGTTGGTAATAATTGTAATTATTTGGCTAAAAAATAATTAAAAATATATCTTTATATTCAGTTACAAAATCAGATAAACAAATCGTGTACTTGTGTTTGCAGTCTGTCAGTCAATAAACTTGAAAGGCCGAAAAGCAAGACACATTGTCACTTATTCTCAATAATTAAATCTGACATAAAAGAAAAAGGGCTTAAAATTGAAAATATTGTTTATTTTTATGAACATGAACAAATAGCTAGAAAGATAATCAAATGGAAGGGAATGGCTATAAAAATTATTTTTGTTACGTAAAACGTTGTTGTGACTTATCAGAAACAAATTTATTTTGTGTCTGTATGAAGTTTAATAATATAATAATAATTATTAATAATAACAATAATAATATAATTTGGCTAAAATTTAATGTGGAGTTATAATTATGTTACCAATACAGATTAAAGTGTCCTGATCTCAACTCCTGTAAAACGTCACAAAGTTTTTTCTAAAAACTTAAATTTTTTTCCTTCCTAAATTCACTCTTAAATACAGAGTAAAGTTGTGTTTATATTGGACTTACTTTGACATAGACCAATGATAAATTTGCTTTAGCAAATTCGTACCACTGTTGTACTTCTTGGATTTAATTATACATCTCAGGAGATTCTGTATAATTTTGGAATTTGTCAATCTTTAGTAATGTGTGCATAGATGCCAATACATATCAGCGTTGCCAGAGATAAAATTTAAATTATGCCAGATTGGGCCAAATTCTGCCAAATCTGCAAAAATGTGGTAAGCGTTATATGGGCGACACAACTGCAGGTTCATGAATAATTAAGTAGCAATATAAATTGAATATTCATTTAACCAGAGTAGAGCCCTGTGTAGTAGTGGTACTAAAAGTTCCAGTGAACACAAACTGCTAGCTGTCCCGCACGAACATTGTTCCACCTGTTTAAGTACTGTACAAAAAAAGAAATATATTATTCTTTGTAATTACTGTACCAAAAAATAGCGGTGCCCATCTAAGGATTAATATATAAAATATAACAATACCTGCAGTAGTGGTGCCCATAATGCAGTAGTGGTGCCCATCTACGGATTAATATATAGAAGAAACAACACCTGCAGTAGTGATGCCCATAATTCAGTAGCAGTGCCCATTTAAGTATTGATATATAAAATATAACAACACCTTCAGTAGTGGTGCCCATAATGCAGTAGCGGTGCCCATCTATTAATATATGAAATATAACAACACCTGCAGTAGTGTTGCCCATAATGTAGTAGTGGTGCCTATATAAGGATTAATATATAAAATATAACAACACCTGCAGTTGCAGTGCCAAGAATGAAGTAGCGGTGCCCATTTAAGGATTAATATATAAAATATATCAACACCTGCAGTAGTGGTGCCCATCTAAGGATTAATATATAACAACACCTGCGTTAATGGTGCCCATCTAAGGATTAATATATAGAAAAAACCCCAGCTCGAGCATACGAGCTCAAATCCCCCCGTTGGACAACTTAGTCATGTAAATGTCATGTTATTCAAAACAACGGCGTTGCAGTAGAGGTGCTACCTGTGCCAAATCTATTTTGCGATCATGAGGAAGCCTGTCTCTTATACACATCTGTGCCCATACTGCATCAGCGGTGCCCATCTAAGGATAAATATATAAAATATAACAGCACCTGAAGTAGTGGTGCCCATAATGCAATAGTGGTTCCCATCTAAGAATTAATATATAAAATCTAACAACACCTGGAGTAGTGGTGCCCATAATGCAGTAGCGGTTCCCATCTAAGAATTTATATATAAAATATAACAACACCTGCAGTAGTGATGCCCATCTAAGGATTAATATATAGAAAAAACAACACCTGGAGTAGTGGTGCCCATAATGCAGTAGTGATGCCCATCTAAGGATTAATATATAGAAAAAACAACACCTGGAGTAGTGGTGCCCATAATGCAGTAGCGGTGCCCATCTAAGAATTGATATATAAAATATAACAACACCTGCAGTAGTGGTGCCCATAATGCAGTAGCGGTGCCCATCTAAGGATTAATATATAGAAAAAACAACACCACTATCTGGGCTATTGACAACAATGCGACTGTTTGACTTTGCTGCACACACACTGTGCAGTATCATCCTTGTGTCAGCTTCCTCATGATCGCAAAATAGATTTGGCACAGGTAGCACCTCTACTGCAACGCCGTTGTTTTGAATAAACATGACATTTATTGCTATGCGCCACGAAAACATGGACATCAGAAAGAATCTCCCTTTCACACATTCTCCATCTTACAAAAAAGAAGTCGACAAATCATCGTAATCATCATCGTTGTTAACAACATGAACATTTAATATTGTTACTATATAATATATATTTATATGTATTATATTTGTTATGAACAGATACCATTTTGTGCATAAAATTACATCTATTACCACCCTTTTTATTATTAATATAATAATAATAATAATTATTATTATTATTATTTCATTATTATTGTAATATTTGTATATTATTGTTGTCATTGCTATTACCGTATTATTATTATTATTATTATTATAAATATTATAATCATTAATATTATCATTAGTCTTAGTATTATATTTATAATTATACTATAATGTATTACAATGTTGCTATTGTTGTTAACGCAAGATTGTTAATCATCATTAAGTAATATGATAAAAATCTTGACTAAGTAATAATGATAACAAAGGGGTGGCACCAGCAGAGGGGGAGGGAGAGATGCCACACCCCTAAACTGTTAAGATTTTTACTAAACAATACAATATTTCTATGTACAGTAGGCTTATCATGTACAATGCAATTCAATACAAGAAAGAAATGTTGGCATTAAGACCTGTGGCTTTTTTTTATACCAAATATTCCCAGTCTCTGAAGGGAATCAGAGAATATTGGCATTTCTATATTGTTTAAATTGTTTTGTAACCATTATTATGCTGTACTGCAATTACCAATCATCACCACCACACAGTTATAGGCTACAGGCAACATTAAAAATCAACATGAAATTCAAGTGTCAATCAACTTTTTATTTAATAATTATCTGTCTGTATCATTCAAAGTTTACAAAAATGTAAATAAACAAATACTGTATAAAAATTGTTCTTGTAATTTGAGTTACTGTAGTAACGTCAGCCTATACCTAACAATATGCACAATTAAATAGCAATAATATTTTAATAACAATAATTTAACAATAAAAAGTATTAATGAATTTATTTATATTTATTAAAAATATAACAACAATAATAATAATCGATTATGTTGCATCTGTTGCTTGCATCTACCTATTCACTGCTGTTAAGGCCATATACGACATATGGTTATGAAGTATTTTCTGTAAGCCATTTCTGACCTTAATTGATAATATAACATAGAATGTAAAATGTACTCACTATAAATATTTCATCCATGTCCTGAATCTCTTCATGAAATATTTATGGCGAGTATATTTTACATCATATGTTATATTATTATTATTATTCAATTAAGGACCCTAGCTAGTCTAGAATGACAAGTATAGGCAGGCCTAAAAAAAATAAGAGCCATTTGGGTGGGGAAACCCCCTCTCAAACCCTTCCCCCAGCTCGAGCATACGAGCTCAAATCCCCCCGTTGGACAACTTAGTCATGTAAATGTCATGTTATTCAAAACAACGGCGTTGCAGTAGAGGTGCTACCTGTGCCAAATCTATTTTGCGATCATGAGGAAGCTGACACAAGGATGATACTGCACAGTGTGTGTGCAGCAAAGTCAAACAGTCGCATTGTTGTCAATAGCCCAGATACAGATTTGTTTTAGAATTTTTATGCCTATTTACCATAATAAGAATGAGAAAATTTACCTGACCGTTTTCAAGAGGGGGAAAATGTTGAATTTTGAAGAACTTAAAAGTTATTAAAAGACACCGCAGAAGTCAGGAAAACTCATTTCCTGCCATCTAGGAATCAAAATTTTCTCGGACCCCTTTTCATTTTGTGGGTTTGGAAACATTCTGACCCCTCCCCTAAAATTGAAACCAGATCCGCCCCTGTGTTTTGCTTTATTATCAATTGTCTCACAGAAGTCAGTGCCAGTAGGTATCACTATGTCACGTTAAGAAATCTCAAACACAGCCTAGTTTTTATTTACAGGTATTAATGTATTATTATTATTATTGTTATTATTATTATTATTATTATTATTATTATTATTATAAAGAAATGGAAAAATAAAGAAAAGTATATTCAAATTTAAAGCTATGCTCAAAAGGAAAATTATTTTTGTAGTGTTGTAAAACTGATTTTTCCAAGACAGGAAAAGCATATTTGACAAAACACTCGGGAAGCGGCTGGTAAGATACAGATTTTTGATTGTTTAAATGGGGCAAGAGGGAGGTACAGACCTTTTCCTTACAGCTTTTAAATATTAAAAAATCTGTATCTCACTAAGCCCTTTCGATTTTTTCGTCGAATATGCTTTTTTGTGTCTTAATTAAAAAATTAGTTCCACAACATATATAAAAACAAAGGAATTTCCTCCTAAGGAGCCTGGCATACACCCTATATATGGATTTTAATTACATTTTGATATACATATTTAATTTTTTCTGGTTGTCACATATTATTTATTTGCAAAAATAACAGGAGCTACTTAAGGGTCTATATGGCAGGATTGCCTAATTGACGAATGCTTGCCATCGAGGGGCTCTCTCGGTCTATCGGAGATGATTAAAGAACTGCTTAAAAATAGTAAAATATTACAGTCTTTATAATATGAAATTGGATATTAAGTAGTGAAATCATAAAAAATAATCTATAAATATAGTTACATGAAATTCGACTGCTAAAAAGATTAAATGGAATTAAACTATACAGGAGGCCGCTGACTGTATTGTACACAGGAACGCACATCACGTTAGACACAGAACTGGCTTCTATAAATTCTCAATGTCGCAACTCGTTGCATCTATGGCAGACCTACCAAGCCTCACGCTTACGGCATGAGAATCACGCCTCAGTGCCTCTTCTCACGCTCACCCGCTCAACAATCAGTTCTCACGCCGGTCGCTGATGGCCAAAAAAAAAAAAAAAAAGAAAACCTTAAAAAAAAACCCACAGGGAGCTATCTCATTAGAAAATCTGTGATCAGGTTTTGGCCTATGTAAAATTATTTGTAATAACTCATTCTAATACCCAAGAGGAGCGACAAAAACAAAACTGCCTTTCGCCCAAATTTAGATCCAAAGGGAACCTTGTCAATTATTTTGACCATCAAACACAAGAGGAGCCAGCTCTTGCATTTGAGCTACCTAAGATGTATTAAAATCTACAAAAAAAGGTCACCTGGGCATACAGTGTATAACAAAGCCCACTCATCAACTTCGCAAAAGGAGTAAGTAGTAAGTATTTCCCATTGCTTAACAATTTCATTTATTCCTGAAGATGAAATAATAATGTCAAAATATTTAATCAAAACACAAAATGTCATGTAGGCTATCTCATTTCGTGGAGTTTGTACTACTCTTTTAATAAGAATTCGTCAAGTAAAATTTGTTTTATGCACTAAATTGCACTAAATTGCACAATACAACCCAAAAATGAAAATATGTTCTATTGTGGGGAGGGGTCCTCCCACACCCACCCCACCCCTCAGTCACTTCGCTCCCTCGATTGTTTGATTGTTCTCACTCTCAGCTAATTGACAAACTTGGCATCTCTGCTATGGTAGACTGGGTTCCAGTCCCTAAATTTAGTCTTAATCAGTAAAAAAGCTGGAAAAATCGATTTTGGCACCAATGGCGTTCCATATTACCCATTTGCTTGGCGTTTCATAGCATACTTCTTTTTTTTTTTCCGCATCAAAAAAGTTTCTCGACATAAACTGACGCTGGTGGCGCTTTTCGAAATGTGCTAATACTATGAAAAATCAAGAAATTAGAGATTTGTGGCAAGTCTATATCTATGGTATGGCTCTGATTGGTAATCATAGAGATATAATAACTCTATGTTGGTAATTAGAGTTCCTATAGGAACTATATTGGTAATTAGAGTTCCTATATAATATAGGAACTCTATTGGTAATTATTGAGGACGCCCTCTCTTGGTTGTTACCAGGACTTAGCCTCCTTATCTTGAACATGCGTGTAAATAAAAAAAAAATCAGGCGTACAATAAATCAATTCACGGTTCCAGGAAGAAGGTACAGTATCAGTAACAGAAACAAATAGGGCGTAGGCTTAGCTGAGCATTTTAACACTGGCGAATTTCATTATGGCAGACTGTGGTAAGTGTACTAAACAATGTCATGAAGAAGAGGTTAAAAATAGTTTATTTAACTTGCTGAAAAACGAAGACAGTGACAATTTCAAACGAGTGTTTTCCTCTGCCTCAGTCAAGTCAAACACACAGCAGCAGAGTCTGGCGAACTCTACAGACGACAGTGGTAACAGTCTGCTGTTGCTGGCTGTAGGGATAAATCAACTAGAGTTGTGTCGTTTTTTGTTGATAAACGGTGCCTCCCCTAATGTAGGTAATCAAGAATGGCAAGTATATCCATTACATTATGCTGCAGCACCTGAAGTTGATGTGGCAATAGTGGAACTGCTAATAGAACATGGAGCTAACCCAAATGTAATAAATAAAGTATTTGAAACTCCTCTTCATGATGTATGTGAATATTATCAGCCGGAGAAAACAAAGATTTTGTTGGCAGCTGAATCGGATGTGAATGCTTTAGATCATTTAGAAAACACAGCACTTCACAAAGCTACAAAGACAGTTGTTAGAGAAGGTAGTCATGTAACTTTAAAACCTGGAGATATTTGTGAATGTGTCGCAATAGTTAAACTATTGGTCGAAGCCGGTGCTGACGTTAATGCAAAAGGAAGAGATGACGTCACTGCTTTACACAATTCAGCTCTTAATTGTTGTGCTCGAGCAGTAGCTTATCTGCTGGATAATGGTGCATTTGTGAACACAGTAGACTCGCATGGTGAAACACCACTCAACCATTTATTTTTACAAATTCATATGCATGCAAATTTGTTCAGAGATAAAGCAATTCCCAGGGATTTTATTGATATTACTGAAACTGAAAAAGCTCTTGTTATACTGTTAGACAAAGGGGGTAATATCAATCATGTGAATACATTTGGGGCCAGTGTGTTACATAAAGTGTGTAACACCACAACGGAAATTGTCGACCTGATCATTAAATATGGTGCGGATTTAAGCATGAAAGATAACTTGGGAAGAACAGCACTTCATACATGCATAATGAACAGTCTCACTTCTTCAGAGGAACAGCTTACTCAAATGCTACAGATATGTAAATTGCTGATCAAACATGGAATCTCTGTTGATGAAATGGACATAAATGGTTCCACACCTTTACACTATGCCATAAACGTGCCTTCATATCATATGATGAAAATGCTGATTGAAGAGGGTGCTAGTGTGAATGCACCAAATAAAAGTGGAACTATACCTATCCACATTGCCATGACATGGAATGTTGAAGATATGAGTTTGCTTGACTTGCTACATAAAAGTGGAGCAGATATTGAAGCGACCGACATTAATGGATCTACTGTAGCCCACTATGCCGCTTGGTATACAGCCGGAGGATATCCTTTCTGTCTAGAATTTCTGCGAAACTTGGTTGACCTTAAGGTAAAAGACATGCAAGGAAATACTGCTGTTAGTCTTGCAAAATTTATTGGTAACCATCAGTTTGTTGAGCTGTTGGAATGTGATAATGAGAGTACAGATGATAGTAGTAGTGAGGGACAGCCTTCCGAAATGAACGAGGAAGTTGAGAAGAGCAATGGAAGTGATCAAGAGAATACTTCACTTGAAGAGGATGAAGCTGATGACAGCGACATAGATATTGATATATTCACACCAATAAAAGAGGAGGAAATTCCACAATTCATTGAACAGTTTAAATTGTATAGTGGAAATACTCTCAATCGTGTCATAGAAACCCCATATTTTGATAAAATTGCATGTTCAAGAGAAGCCCACTATATCCAGAATTCCATAGATGAACTTGTCAGACAGATTTTGAAGAAAATAGCAGATATTGATCCTAGATTTGAAGCCTCAGCAGTTTTGTCTGGAAGTGTGAGTGAAGGCACTAAGACATCTCTTCCTGATGAATTTGACTATATCTGCTGTCTACACAAGTTTGATAGCATCACCACTGTTGATGAAACAGATCCAAACAAACCAGCCTGTTTTGCATCCCTCGTCATGAATACTCAAAATTCTAGCAGCCAACACTCAGTATTTGCTGAATTTTTCGACGATTCATTTTTACAACAGAACCGTGTGTCGAGCTGTTTTTATCAGCTTATAAGAAAAGTGATTCCATGTAATGATATCTGGTCAAGTTTTCCACGAATCCTATTATATGATGAACCAAAAGTGGAAAAGGGTAGAATACATTGCTTGTCTGTGAAGTGGACGGGATGGCTCATCAAAGACATGGTGATATCGATTGATTTTGTTCCCACTATTCCGAAAAGAAACTGGTGGCCATCACAAATTAAAAAGTCCAGATTAACAACAGACAAACATGTCTCATCTCTTGGATGCTTGCTAATAACTAAATCTGACAAATCAGAAAAGTTTCAGTTTGTGCCTGCCCACAAGATGACACAATTTCTGCGTGTTTCATTTTCTGAAGTAGAGACGTTCCTAATCAGAAAGCAGAGCGACCAAGTAAAGCAAGGATACAAGCTCGCCAAAAATATGATCGACCTGGTTCCTCCGCTACGAATTAGCGATGACGATGAACATAAGGATCTGAAACGTTCAGCGAGTGAACTGATATCAAGTTACATGCTGAAAACCTGCCTCTTATATCATCTTGACAGTGACATGAGTGGCGATGATAGAGAGAAACTAACCAGTGATGTAACAGACGGAGAACAAATTAGAGCATGGGCATTTGCCATTTTTAAGCAGTTGGAAAAGTTTTTGACAGATAAAATAGGCACAGTTCCATCATTCTTTGTTCCAGAATATAATCTCATATCACTGGAAGACTTTTCTTCTCATGGAATGAACGACCGTAAACGTCTTCAGTTTTGCAAGATGATCATAGCAATATTGGATCCAAAACAAACAATGGACAAAATATAAATTTAGGGCAAATAGAAAAATTTATTAGATTGAAACATTTTTTTTTTTTGCCTCATCAATTATTTCAACAGCATAAAAATAGCAATCAATTTTGTGACTTCAAATACATTTTCTGTAAAAAAAATTATAAAACTAAACCACTTTTTAAAAGATACAGTATTCATTATTATACTCGCCAAATATAAACAGTTCCTCCCTCATCAATAAAAACAGAAGCGAAATAATCTATTGTTCCGCTTTAAAAAAAAAAAACACCCTCCCTCATCGATTTTTTTTTTTAAAGAGTGATAATGTAAATTGATTTTTCTATTTGCCCTTAACATGTTACTGAATATAGACGACGACTACTATAAATGACCAGTAAAACTTTGATCTTGCTATACTTACGATTTAGGCGATAAAGATTACAGTTAATTCATGTAAATATGTGCCCCGATTCGGGATTTGTTGAAAAGACCTCCGAAAATCCAACACGCCAAAGTAATCGATAATACAATGCTTGCAGGCATCCACCGCACAAAAAATCTTCTTTCACAGCATGTCAAAACTTTGACCTTTCAAATCCACGCTCTGTCGGAGAATTATCATATTATCATTTCTTTCAATGGACGCATGCTATCAAAAGAGAAAAAAAGATGGACATTTACTTGACGGAGGAAGCAACTTTTGCCCTTTAATAAGTGTTTTGGGGTTCAGTGAAAATCCAAGAGGGATATGATGGAACAGGAAGAAAGTCTACAATGTACTGGAAGATTGCTGCCAAGTTAAAGGAAATGGGGATCAAGTTCGATTTGAGAAAGGTAATAAACAAATTACAAATTTTTGTATTTTCATATTTTTGATATCTATTTACTTATTCAATTTACAGTTATTGATTCATGAGTTATTTCATGGACTATTCAAAAATGGATGGATCATGTACAATGGCAGTATTTATACAATTGATTGGAGTGTTTGTTTTGAAACTGATGACATTAACTTTACATGGGAATATTTTAAAAGTAAATTTCTCATGGCAATTTTTGATGTACCTCAACTTAAAGCTAAGGTTAAGGCTAATACCCATGGATATGCAATTCAAAACTGCAAGTTGTGGGATATTTTCCTGCCTATTCCTTTACCCATTTATTCTTTTTGGTTCATGTATAGAATACATGAATCAAAATTAATAAGATAAAGGAATCATCCTCCACAATATGTCCTAATTAAAATTATCCATAACAGACGACTTATGCAATCAGCCTGTTACAGTATCTGTTTTTATGTTTTCAAATTGCTTGCAATACAAACCAAGGTATTTGTATTAGTTATGTTCATAAATATAGCTAACTGTAAATCTCATTGTCTTTATTTTTTTTAAAACAATTATTAAACAGCAAAATAAAGAATGCCATTACAGTATAGTTTTGATTTTGTTCTTTTATTTTTTTGTAGAGTGGCATGTTGGTACAATCTGCTAGGATGTTTAGTAAGCAGTTGTGTTCAGCTTCAGGATGAGTAGTAAAATTGAGAGAGTGGATAGCAACTTAAGAATACAATGTGCTGGTAAGTGGAGAAATATTTATTTTTTTTCATCCAATTATGATGTAGGTTACAGTACTAGAGTGATAGCTTAAAAAGCCATACTGTAGTTAATAATCTCAATTTTGTTTTCATAAATGTTATTTATTATTAAATTATTGTTTAAAATATTCTTTATCCATTCTCTTTACCATATAGGGCAATAAAATAATGCAGTTAAAAACATCCACCAATCTTAAATTAAAAATTGTACTATATATGTGGTTGTTAACTTCTCGGTTTTACAATATTTCATAGGGTTTGTATTTTATTATTTATTGTCTGTATTATTTTTAAATTAAATTATGTTTCAATATTAATATAGTACTGTACAGTGGTTGTTCATTGGCCTCTGTTGTAGATTTGAAAAGTATTGTATTTAAATTTGTTTTGTATAAAATTGGGAAAAACAGGAACTCAGATGTCTACAAATTAATTAAATGCTGTACTGCATACAGTTTAAACTTGCCTAGGCCTAAGTCGCCTTTGCCAAACTTGAATGATTTCTAAGTTGATTTTATTTTAAATATTAATTTGTTGTTTTCACTTTAAAATTAACCATCTGTAAGTCAAATTTTATCCAAGTCGAACAATTCTTTAATGCCATGTTGGATTCGACTGTTTAATAATATTCATCTTGATCTATTTACTGTACTGTATGTTATTCAAAGACAAACACCCATCTGGGTTAAAAAACAAATGCGGTGGGGTCAAATCAAAATCTTATCGTGCCATTCATTTTCCAATGGCAATGGTAACTAATTTTTAATAATGCATTCTATCGAAATATATTACCATTTTATTATCCCACGAATGTCGGATGATATCAACCTTTTTTTACTCTGGGAAAAGAGCAAATGGCATAAATGGCAAGTCACGAGAAAAATTTTTGTTCAACCTGGCAACTGTCACCGGGAGACATTTTTTTCCGAAATTTACCATGGCTACTTCTGTTGTACAATATAAATAAACTATTGCACACAACTTCACATCTCTATTCTCATGGTAAAACCCATTCTCACATCTCTCAGTTCTTCATTCCTAGTTGGCTGTCATGTAATACCTGTCTCTTATACACATCTAGATGTGTATAAGAGACAGGTACTGTACAGTGGTTGTTCATTGGCCTCTGTTGTAGATTTTAAAAGTATTGTATTTAAATTTGTTTTGTATAAAATTAGGAAAACCTGGAACTCTGTTGTCTACAAATTCATTAAATGCTGTACTGCATACAGTTTAAACTTGCCTAGGCCTAAGTCGCCTTTGCCAAACTTGAATGATTTCTAAGTTGATTTTATTTTAAATATTAATTTGTTGTTTTCACTTTAAAATTAACCATCTGTAAGTCAAATTTTATCCAAGTCGAACAATTCTTTAATGCCATGTTGGATTCGACTGTTTAATAATATTCATCTTGATCTATTTACTGTACTGTATGTTATTCAAAGACAAACACCCATCTGGGTTAAAAAACAAATGCGGTGGGGTCAAATCAAAATCTTATCGTGCCATTCATTTTCCAATGGCAATGGTAACTAATTTTTAATAATGCATTCTATCGAAATATATTACCATTTTATTATCCCACGAATGTCGGATGATATCAACCTTTTTTACTCTGGGAAAAGAGCAAATGGCATAAATGGCAAGTCACGAGAAAAATTTTTGTTCAACCTGGCAACTGTCACTGGGAGACTTTTTTTCCGAAATTTACCACGGCTACTTCTGTTGTACAATATAAATAAACTATTGCAGTATTAGTAGATACTATAATGCTGCATACGAACATGACTGCATATTGTGACTCTAGTTAAAAGTATTAGTGTTCAATACGTGTAACTAACAAAGCACTCCACGACCACACCAGCTCCAACAACAGTCTCAAATGTTATAGATAGAGATCTTTCTTTAATTCCTTATGGTCTATTTAACAGTCAAAACGTCTGTAGAATATGAAATAATACTTAAAGAAAATAACAGACAGTGAAAAGTGGTATACACAAGAAGCAAAAACAAACAGTTTTAAACGAAATCAAAATTTTGAAAGAATGAAACGTTTAAAGAGTTTGGATGTACCTGAGGGAAGATTGTTCCAAAGTGTAACGTTGCTAAACATTTAACGCCGTGGCTAGAGATACGGTACCATATTTCTACTTCGTTTTGCTAAAGGTATGGTAAATGGCATTACGTCACTATCACCCAATGAAATGCCAGAATGTGAGTGACGTCATTTTTGAAGACTGGCATTGCATATCACCTGCAATGAGCGGTGGAAGGAGAACGATCGTTGTACACTGGGAAATTAGAACATCAAAAGTACAATATTGTTTGACTTTACTGTCATCCTTAAATAGGCGTATGGTTCCACTTTATAGTAAAAATAGGCCTGTATGAATTCTCTGGTTTACAGTATATTCATTTTTTTTATTGCAAGTGTTGTCATATAAATAGATTACCAAAGACTAGCAGTAGTGTGTGTATACATGTGCCTTGGCCTAAGTACTGAGGATGATGCCTTGCTTGATAAGGCTATATAATGACCTGACTTTATTATTGAGTGGTATGCCTATTTTTCTATGACAGTATTATGGTCTGCATCAAAATTATTGGAAAAATTTGACTCAATTGTAATAATCACAAAGGGGAAACTTATTCTCTCGATCTAGGCCCAAATTCTGTACCATAACAGTGACGAAGTCGAGCCCTACGAAAAGTTTTGTGCATTCAAATTGTATGAATATTTTGGAGGGATTGTAAAGCGTGGTATTATTTCGAACTTCTTGGACTAAAACTTGGGATGTAGGGATTATGAAGTTCAGACGCTAGGCTAAGTTTATGACTGATATACTGTAGGCCTATGCCACTTAGATCAATGTCACCAGAGCAGCTGCCGTGAAAAGCAGAATCCAAGCAAGGCCGAGCAGGCTTACTTAGATTTTTCGCCAAGCGAAGAATTTAAGCAAGGCCTAGAGGCATGCCAAGAGTTTGGTGGAATCAGTCCTTGTTTGATAATGGTTATACATAGGCCTAGCTAAATGAAACTCTTTACTAAATGGAACCATAAGCTTATTTATCGATAACAGTACTAAGTCAAACAATATTGTACTTTTTGATGTTCTAGTTTCCCAGAACTGTACATTGTACTCGTTTCACCGCTCATCGCGGGTGATCTGCAATGCAATGCCAGTCTTGAAAAATGACGTCACACACATTCTAGCACTTTATTGGGTGATGGTGACGTAATGCCATTTACCGTACCTTTAGCAAATTGAAGTAGAAATACGGTACCGTATCTCTAGCCACGGCGAACATTTAAAGCGGTGCAAACAAAATTCATAGTCATACTTATACCCATTTCACACTGATGCTATTTTGCAAATATTAACAACTTGTAACAAGTTGTAACCAGGTTTGGATGAGTGTGAAAGCAAAATCCTTGTAAACTTTCCGAGATTTCACAGGGGTCCCCTGAGTTATCTCGGAACAAAAACAGACCATCGCGAGGCCTGTTTTTTTTTCCCAAATCTTCCGAGTTGTTGTTGCGCATGCGTCATGTCCATATTTTGACCTTTTGACGAATGGCGGCAGCGATGGAAAACGTATCAACATTACTACCCTTTGTTAATAGGCCTAGACCTAAAATCAAAAGAAATCTCGCTAAATTTCGCATGTCTGATGTAGAAACAATCACGAGGCTTTGTAAAATACGCCGACAGCGAATCATTATGATGCTTGTCGCACTGATTGCCTCTAACAACAATGGTGAGCTACCGTCCGGCGGCCCGACTGTGCCTAGCTAGCCTAGGCCTATCTTTCTCGCCAGCTCGACTACTACAGCAAGCGAGCTGGGAGTTGAATTCGTTTTACTCTCCGAAGGCTAAGGACCATGGAATAATTATAATCTTGTTAATTCGGTACCAGGCCTATTTTAGTAGTTAATATGTAATTCGGACAACCTACAACTAGCCTAGGCCTACTAGTATTACCCTAGGCATCTAGGCCTAGTCATAATATTCTTCCGAGTTTTCCCGAGATTTCTCATGGTTTGAAAGTGCATGTGTGAAACGAACCAAAAAATCTCGGAATATCAAACTTGTTACAACTTGTTAAAAGTTGTAATATTTTCTGCTAGTGTGAAATGGGTATTAGTATATTGTTTATTTCTTACGGTGTAGTTTTCCAACGGTTTAAAATAATGAGTTATCAATGGTATAAACTGAATGATTCAAAGAATGGTGTACACATTAAGGATGTATTTAAACTGAACGAACGAACGAACTGAAATATAAAGATATAAAAGAAATCAAATCTATAGGAAATGCTGTCTATGCAATAGTATTTAAATGAACAGGATTATTAAACTAATTTTATGGTTTCTAAAGATATAAACTATTTGAGATAAATATTAAATATAAACTCACATCACTGAGTTTTCCTTGGTGTATGGTATCCAAAGGTATAATTACTGTATGTAGTTGTCTCCTACTGTATGTCTACAGCTTGCAAACAGGTATGGGTAAATGCTAGATACCCTGTGGAGTGCTGACTAAACATACCAATTCGTGATAATAATAATAATAATAATAATAATAATAATAATAATAATAATAATAATTCTGGATAATAATAATAATAATAATAATAATAATTCTGGATTTAAACCAAAACATTGAATGAATACAGTAGTTGTTCTAAGCTATTGTTAAAGTTTACAAATATTCACTGGATGCTGAAAACAAATTTCTGAGTGTTACACAAAGGCTAACTGAGTGGTGAATGTTTTTTCCCCAAATTTGTTGCCATAGATTGATTGATTGAATTGCATCATTGATGTTCTTGCTAAAGATTACAATACTAATATTTTTACTTTCGTATATATATATATTTGTATTACACGATACCGTGTATTTCGGTACTTGGAATAAGCATTATACTTATTTGTATTTGTATTGTGTTAATGAAATTTACAATTAAGTTTTCGTTTTTTGCTTATTTTTGTATATTTTCTCAGTTTGCTTTAATGATTGTTATTTTTGTTTTTTGTCATGTACTTAAAACTTTGTATAATTTGTATTTAAGTCAAAAAAGATTTTATGTGACAAGTGTCTCCATTTGTATATAAAGTTGTTATTGTCTACTTCGTGAATACTTACCTAGATAAACGGTTTATTCAGGTATCCACTCACAGACTACCAACATCACCATTGATTTGTGTAATTATTATTTCCAATACAAATAATATTTTATTTTTGGCCAGTTAGCGTTTCCGTAGAGTTGCTGCAAGCTCCTTATTTTTTTCTCATTCTGAACAGCGCCACCAACGAGCAATTTAATTTTGAGACAGAATAAGGGACTTCCAAAATATTGCGAAAAACATGCAAAAATAACGGCGTAATTCCGTATGCGGATAAATGGACGGACCAACATAAACGATTTCAACCAATCACTGTGCTCACATTTTCAAAGCCACGAATGTGTACAGAACATGTCTCACATCAACTAGTTAGGCATGGATAAAAAGTAGTTTCCCCTAATAAAACGGACCTAAAATATATTGAATAGACCCTAGGACAAGTAGGGAGTACAGTACCATATTACAACGTACAGCACAACTTTCTGATAGAATGGCCTACTAGGCCTCTAGAGTCTACTGGTAGTGGTAGTAGTAGTAGTAGCAAGAGGTCTGGTGAGCCTACATTTACGTTCTTACTTAATAAACAGTACCTCGGCCTAAATCTGTGTAGCTTAGCGGTGAGCATTGTTATCTGTAATTAATTCAAGTAGGTACGAAAAAGTTAGCTGCCTAACTTAGCTTTCGAGACTCTGCACATCTTCAATTTAAAAATTACAAAGATTAATTGATATGTAAGAGGTAAGCCAATCGTGTGACTTACAAAATCAGTCATGCATACGATATCACACATTGAATTTGATGTGTTAAATCGTACGCATCGTAAATTTGCCCAGGCCCTAATCTGAGAAAGAATTATGGGACGCCAAATAAATTAGGTATGGCGCGCAACAAAAAGTGAGTAACCCAAAATTAGGGCCTGGATCCCAGACTAGTGCACCCGCTGACACGAAAAATTGGAAATTTCAGAAGCAAAATTGAAGTTTTCCTACAATTTTTATTGCACCCACCGATGCCTTGAAATCTCCAAATGTATATTTCTTCCTAATTACATAAATTGGTGGTTCATTTCAGCCCCTTTTTTTGTCGAATAATGTGAATTAAGCACCTCTCTATGGCTGCTACGGTACTCACGGACCACGCCTGTATGCAATTCAGAACTATTTACAGATAGTGGGTTATACTCCTACCTATTCCTTTACTTTTATACATCTGAACCAAAATTAATAAGATAAAGGAATCATCCTCCACAATATGTCCTAATTATTAAAATTTTCAATAACATACTTACTATTATGCAATAAGCCGGTTACAGTATCTGTCTTTATATATTTTCAAATTACTCGCAATACAAACCAAGGTATTTGTATGAGTTATGTTCATATATATTGCTACTGAAAATCTCATTGTCTTATTTTTTATTTTTTTTTTCAATTATTAAGAAGCAGAATAAAAAATGCCATTAGAGTATAGGTTTGATTTTGTTCTGTTATTTTTTTGTAGAGCGTCATGTTGGTTCAGTCGGCCAGAATGTTAAGAAGCAGTGGTGTTCAGCTTCAGGATGAGTAGTAAAATTGAGAGAGTGGATAGCAACATAAGAATACAGTGTGCTGGTAAGTGAAGAAATATTATGATTTTTTTCATCCAATGTGAGGCATGTTGTGGCGAAATGGTTAAGTTGTCGCACAGACCAGTATTGAGTAAATGAGCTATAAAATATGGGAGCTGAAAAACTTCCTAAAAATTCAAATTTCTTTTTTAATTATAGATCAACAGTTCTTTTTGGCTTATTAATCATGTCCCACAGTATTAGTTCTGGAAGTGGTCAACAAATAGTTTATTTAACGTTATTTTTATAGCTAATTAATGTATGCACTTGAATAACTTTTGAAGTTCATAACTTAGGCTCGAAATGTCCAATTTCAATGAATGACCCCTAATTTTAAAGATCACATACTCCAAAAATATCTGAAAATTCCAATAACTTAAATTTCAATTTTAGCCACAACATGCCTCACATGCATATTATTGCAATAGAAAACTAGAAATAAGAATATGTATATTAAAAAAAATCATGAAAAAAAAAATTAAATTACATAACTTCAATCTGATAGCATGGAAGTAGCCAATGCTGTACGAGAAGGCTGAATGGATTAAATTGGGATGTGTTATAGTCAAGTTTTATACTACTGGTGAATGGTGTTGAATATAATATAAATACAAACCCTATGAAGTAATGTAATTTAAGAATTAATTTAAATTTATATTACACATTTACATTTAAACCAATTTAATTAATTTAAGTCTTAATATTTGTTGGTTGAAATTTCAATATAATAATATCATTTTTTTTATTACAGGCTCTTTGCTAGTTGACTCATTTGCATAATTCATCAGACCATGGTCTCATCACAATGATGATAATGAATATTCAATGTCAGAGACTTGAAATTGCAAAAATCAGGAAACTGCTGAAATGACACCACAGCAAAAGCAACTTGTAGAAAGCATATATATGGGTTTCACCACAGTAATTTTTGCACATTGTAACCTCCTACTGCATGGATAGGATATGTCCTTAATCAGACAAACTTTTTAAAGTAAGTCCATAATCCAGAAGTTTGCTGATTTTATGAGTTTACAAATTTTTTTTTGGTCATTGTCAAAATGTTTTTGTTACCTTGCCTTGCCCATTGTTTTCCAGGGTAAGCAAGTGAGCTAGGGTTTGCTTGAATGTTTTATCCTTTTGAATAAAGTGGTTGAAATGAAAAGTAGTGCCACCAACGAATGTTGCTAAGTACACTACAAAATTTAGATTGTACAGTCAACTCTCCCGATACCGACCACCCTTCGGACCGTCCACTTTGACCGGTTTTCCGGACGGACCGGTTTAGAGAACGTCATGTTTACCTACCTTGGTTCCCCGACCTTAGTCGATAATAAGCCTCGGCCTAGCAAGGTACAGCAGATAGGTACACCACACTGCATCATGTACTGTGTAGGCCTACTGACCTGAGAACGTCATTTAAAATTCATGTTTTACTTTATTTTTACATTATTTATGTTGTACATACCTATTTTTTTGTGTCAAAGTCCATTAATAAAAATTTACACAAATCAACTTAATGTGTATCGTAAATTTAAAATAAGTGTTAGTGTTATTTTTCGTTCGATCGCCATAATCTGCTTCGCTTCAACGTGGTTGCCCGCTTGATTGGTTTTCGATGCCGCTGGCATAACCTTGGTGGGTCACTGAATGCTAAAAATAAGTGCTAACTTATGCAGCCCCCCTAAACTGCGTCAGCCAATAGAAAACAGCAGAGGTATGTGCAATTGTTTTTATGAAATCGATAGCCTTATGTTGGGACCGCTTGGTTTGCCTTAGCGTGAGAATGAATGCAAAATGTGAGAAAAGGATATGTTCCTTAATAAAGAAAACACACTCATGAACCTTTTTTTTATCAGTTTATTAAACAAATGAAATCTAGGCTTATTGCAATTAATTAATGCGCTATCTGCGTGTCACACGATCAACACTAACGATTGTACATGTGATGTTGTTCTGTGATTGATAGTTGTTATTTGGAGTCAGTCGATGTGTCTCCGATTTCGTCAATAAATCATCGTTTTAAACTGGCCGTCTCAGTTTTCAGAAGGTAATTTTATTGTTCGGGTCTTAAGAATTTTGCCGGAATTCGGAATTGGGAGATCCGGTTTTCAGAATGTATTTTAATACAGTAAGAATAGGAATGATTTTGGGACTTTAAAAAACGACCGGTTTTGCGTGAAATCCGGTTTTCTGGGTGGTCGGTATTGGGAGAGTTGACTGTACCTCATCATTTCGAGATCAACTTTTTTGTATACTTAATTGCTCATTATGGCCTACATGTTATTGTACTCTATTTCAAAAGGAAAAATGTTTGTCAAAGCTGAATTTAGAGAAACAATTGCCCTTCAAGCTTGGTGAATCTTCAACCTTTTAATACAAAACTCTTTCGCATGTAACTGTTGTCTATAATTTTTTAGAGTTAATTTGTAAAGCTACCCTAAGAAATAATTATATTGTTATTACGTTCAACATACTTTTGTTAGGACTGAAGACCTATAATCATTAATTAACTTTTTTTTCGTCTCTAGACGTGTTGAAGACTATGCATACAGCGCGCGTTTTGTGCGCTCTAATAACCCTCTATGCCGGCGTTCCACGAACCCGTAAAGGGGGCCTAGGAAGTATTTACTATACTTTGTTACATAAGCTGTTATATAAAATTAGTAGGACCATATACAAATTAATATTTAAATTAAAAAATGAAACAATTCAAAACCAAATTCTTTTAACATAATACATTTATTTCATAACATGGCCTTAATTATGCAAAACAAAGAATACAAATTAAATCTTTAATTTATATTATTAAATAATGTAATATTCTTTTAATATTTTTTATGCAAATGATGTGATCAAATGTAGGCCTATTGTTTTTTAAACATCATAGTTATTTAGTAAAAATTAATAACCACAATACAATAAATCTTTTACACAATAAATTATCTAGGTTGTACTCTAAATTATTATTATTATTATTATTATTATTATTATTATTATTATTATTAATAATATCAGGCCTACTATTATTATTATCATTATTATTAAGTTATGTCAAACATTTAATCGAAACCATTAATTTACTGCAATAATTCATTATCCATCCTTAATCTGTACTGTTAAACTGTTATTATATATTAAATTATTATAAACTTATATTGAAAAATTAATTGCATTTTTTTTCATTTTTATAAACCACAATCTGCATTACAATTCAATGTGACTAATTAAATATTTAGTATCATTTTCTATGCCATCAGATAACACCAACATTATTTGTTTATTTAACTGACACTCAATACTTATTAGTAGAAATGTTATTCAGAAATAAAGGCTACATATTGAAATAACATGAATATTAAAACAAATATTAGTGTTCATTATATTATAAACAATATAAAAAGACGAAATTGTAAATAGCCTTTATAATTTATTTTTCTTATTTTAATCTGAACATATTTATATATCAAAGATCCATATTAGATCATTATTAAGTTATATATATATTACTCTAGAAATCAAACAATATTTTTATATTAAAAGTGGCATTGCTTATAAACTAACTGTAAATGTGCACTCACTATACTTTATTATAAATGCAGACTTGTGAACACTCATTAGTTTTTCCTGCTATTTAAACATTGGCAAATTGAATAATCAAAAAGTGTTATTAAATTAAATGTAAACTCCTTATTTTTTTGCTTTTAAATGTTCAAATATGAACAGAAAATTTAAAATGGGCACGGCTATTAATATGTCCTACTGCCCTCTTTTGTCTTAAGACAAAATATAGTGTTAATAATATTATGTCAACTCAATGGAATCTGACAGTATTACACTGGTTAGTAACATTACATGGTTAGTAACGTTACATGGTTAGTAACGTTACGAATTTCAACTGCTTTTATAAGCCCTGTTACCAAATAAGAATCAGAACTATTTTTGTTTTTTGCTTCAGTGTATACAGAAGAGCAAAATTTAAAATAAGAAAATTCCTAGTAATTGCTTTCTCCTTATACAAAAATAATCTTGTGTTTTTGGTTAGTAACAAATGTGTGAAAGGGTGTAACCCAATAAATAAATATGATAAAATTGCATGGATAAAGCAATCCTTAATCCATACTTGGGCTAGTTAAAAATTGTCATGATTTAAATTGAAAATTTTCAATTAAAACACTATTGACATAAATATGAGATTTTACCACACATACTGTAAATGCATCCGGATTATTGTGTTTTCCATAAGTGCTGATATGTTTTTAGTCATATAAAACCAAAATAATTGAGAAAAAAAATAAATTTTAATTTTTAGGTAATGTCCACCTAATTATGGAATTGCCCTTATCATGAATTTGTTGAAGAAGATGGTTAACTAAATTTATAAGTGACAATTTTGTGCTATATTTCTCCCAGTACCCGTATATGAAATATATTAAATTTTTCAAAAAAAGTAGTCAGTCTATTATTTACAATTTTCTCTAGACTTTTGCTAAGTATTGGTAAAATTGAAATTGGGCTATAGTTTCCAGGGTTGTCTTTAGAACCTTCTTTGTATAAAGGAATAACTCTGGCTATTTTAAGTGAGTCAGGGAATTTTCCCTACAGTAAATAAATATGACTTTGAATATAACTTTTTTATATTATAGAGCGCAGTGGTTTTCTGTTTCATGATGAGTACATAAAAATTGAGGAAGTGGATAACAACACAAGATTACAAGATGTTGGTAAGTGTAACAATATTTCATTTTTTTCATTATGAAAAAATTCCCACTGAATATAATAATCGAGTCGTACTTGATTTTTGCTTCCAACAAAGTATCCATTCGTTGAAATCTTATGAAGATAAGACTATCTAAATAGATACGTTTTAGTAATGGAGGGTCCAGTCCAGACCTCCAACTTTAAATTGATAAAGAAAGGGTAGGCCTAGTTTTAAAATAAGCTTATAATGAATGTCTGTAAAGTGAAAAATAATGCCACTTCAGTGAATTTGTTATACTTACAATCGTTTTATGTTTTATAGAATGGCATGTTAGTAAGCAAGCAGATTGAGATAGTGACATGTTTAACAGCAGTAGTGTTGAGCTTAAAGAAAAATGCTTAGAAAATTGAGAAAGCAGAGAGCAACACAAGAACTGATTCTGGTAAGTGGCAATATATTTTATGTTGTGATATAGGCCAAGTATTAAGTGTTATTTTATTTATTTTTTTTTTATGAAGTTTGTATTGTACAATTTTATAATGCTGCATTTTCATTGATGTACATCCATCCACCAGTTCATTAATTTAATTTAAGTTTTCATGCTATTTTTCTCCATTCGTTGATTATCACCATAAGATATCACTCAGTATAATCAAACATTTTGAATATGCAGTGTTTGAATGTGTAAAGGACAACAGAAAAGTTCACAGTGAACTCTATTCTAGGTCTCTGGGGCCTCTTAAGGGGTTTTAATAGGTTTCTGAAAAATGCATAATAAATTTTTTATGACTGTAACTTTCAGCAAAAGTTGGGTTTGATTGTTGGGTAAAATGTTTTGGGCTTCTGAAAAATAGCAAAATTGTTTGATTTTTTTTACCTAGGTCAAAGGTCATGTGCCCCAAATTTGCAATTTAAGGGCCAAAAAGGGTACTTTTTTTCCTATAAACCCCATGTAAACGACACTAAAAAAATTCCTATGCTCATAAATGTTATGCATTATGTGGAATATGTTGTTTTCTACAGAAATAAAATGTGTTTGGTTAAAAAAAATTATGCTTTCGTATTTATGCCCAAGGTCACAAAGGTTATTGAGGTCATAATTTGGGGAACAGCCTCTATCACATGCCCCCTCCCCCGATAGAGGGCAAGTAAGCCTAGCTAGGCCTACATATATGCTTATTTCTAACTAGGGCTAACTAGGGTCGACTACTGGACCTAGGATATATTTTACTAAAACTGGTACACTTGATGAAATAATAACATAATATAATAATAAAAGAGAAGATGGGGGTAGGGGTATTGAAATATGAGATATGGGGTCCAGGTACATGACCAAACCCAAAATGAACGTTTGCAGACCTAGGCCTAGCATTACTGGTTGCGCTGCTAAAGTTTCTAGTTAAAATCTTTCCTTAGATTCATATTATTTATATTATTAATTAATTAATTAATTAATTATTATGTAAACAATCATGCTATCCTCGTCTATCCAAGTACATCAATTACTGACAGAAACAATTGCTGATTTTTGCTCTATACAATCAGTAAGCCTTGTCTAGTTACTATGACATTAGGGAAATCCCCTAAAAGAGTCAGCAACAGAGGGCAGCATTATTAAAACAATAGGATATATAGGTCCGTACATCTTGGGACAGTAAATTACTCCGTATGGGATACGGACCACAACCTCAAAGGGTTAAGTTTTATCGACTAGTGTTGGTGTTGAATTTATATAAAGTTATTAAATGTCAATTTTTTTAAATAAATGAAAACATGTGTGTTTAGCAATTATTATTTATTTCTTAAAAAATGGCAATTTAAGTGCAACGTTATTTGGATAGGCAAAATATTATTTCTGGACCGATGACCTTGTGGCATCAGACTATAGGGATATGGGCCTGTCCGGGGAGGGGGAAATTCCCTGTGTGCTCCCTGTCTTTCGCCACCACTGTAACTCGCCAATAACATTTTTGACTAGTAAAAACCTATTTGAAAAGTCACTTGTCCAATTGGCTATAGTGTGAAAAAACATTAATCTTGCATCCTGAACGTGTAGCAGATATTACAGAAAATGTAAACTATCTTTTATGGATTCAAACTAATCACAAGTTGCTTTTATGTGTATTAAACTACACATTCAAATCACTATGTTTTAGAAAACCATTTTGTTCTATTTTTGGGGTCTATCCATACGGTATGCCTTATGGTCATACGAAGACGAAATTAAAACAAAAAAACGAAAAACAATATTGCATTTCAAGTACACTACGGAATTTAGATTGTACCTCATTATTTCTATAGGGAAAATTTCCCACCGATAAATAAACATAAACAGTACCGGGTAAAGACAACTTGATTTCTTGCTTTGAACAAGGTATCCATTCATAGAAGTTATATGAAGATAAGCCTATCTGAGAGTGACTCTAAGGTCGTCGAGACCAGGACATATCTCCAACTTTAAATTGAACAAAGATTATATAACAAGTATACAGAGACTAGCCCATAAACATAAACAATGATATTTAAAAACTTAATAAATGTATGTGTATTAGTAATCAGTTGTAATTATGGATAAAATAACGTAGAATACAAATAAAAGGAAGAATAGAAAAGAAACTTGGGGCAGCTGTAATGTATACTAAAAATATACAATAATAATCTGTATGTCATTATTGCATTACGTTTTTTAAAAATTTGAAGGCACTAATTGTCAGGTCACAGCAGCCTACACATTTTATAATTTGAAATCAAAAGCTCAGCATAATTCTCATTTTTTTATCTCCCCTCCCTCCCTCCCTCCCTCCCATCCCCCGGGCTGAATCTTTCCCTGTAATATGTTGTGTCGTTTGTAAATTTGTAGTTTTCTATTTTTTTAAATTTGGTAATAACTATAGTTAATCTTGTTTATTATAGAGTGGCATGTTGGTAAGCAGGCAGATTGACACGAGTGATGTGTTAAAAAGCAGTGTTTTCACTTCATAAATTGGAAAAATGGATAACAACTGAAGAAATACTAGATTCTGGTAAGTGGAAAGATATTTCATGTTTTCATGCAGTACTTGGTAAAAACTTCGAACTAGGTAGCCATTTGTATCTTCATAAGACTATCAAGTAAAGACAAAACTCAAACTTCAAATTGACAAAGAAACTTGTTAAAACATAAGAAATGGTAGGCCTAATTTCAAAATAAGCTTATAATGCTTATTATATTTTGCAAAAACCAATGGTTTTGTAGCAAATTGTTTAAAATTTAATCTTGTTTATTTCAAGGAGCAGCATGTTGATAAGCAGTGGTTGAAAGCTTAATAGAAAAAAAAAATAAATTAAAACTAAATTATACAATGTTCCATTGTCCTTGAAAGAACATGTAATTATATTTGATAGACCATCCCACCCATCATTAACCAGTTTCAATCCTATCATTGTCCATCCATGAAAAATCACCATAAGTGAAATACACACAATCAATACATAACTCTCAGTATCATCAAACATTTACAATGTTTAATGATACTGAGAGTTATGTACCAATTTTGTGTATTTCACTTATAGCAAAGATACTAGAAATACAAGATAGAGTTCTCGCATTGTAAAAATGAGGCGGAAGTCGTGCCCAACGTAGGCGGCGCCCTTCTTTTTAACCATGCAAGTTTCCTATACTTCGTGCCCAATGTACAGGGCGCCCTTCTGTTGCTAAGTATATCCAGACGCAAAAGGCGCCCTTCCTTTTCCACTAATGGACAAAAACATTTTCACTAAGAGTGCGTCTGGCCATGCGATTCTGCGCTGTATTGTTATTTTTATTCTTTACTGATTCATAATTATGCTTTAATTGTTTTGTGTATTATTTGGATAATAGCAACGATTTCTACCGCCACCAAGGAGGTTATGTATTCACCGATGTCACTATCTGGGTGTCTATTCCAGTTTGTTTTTATATCTAGTATCTCTGTTGAGAATTGATAATAAAATACGCGACGACTTGGTAACAACAGTTGGGCACAAGTTTTTTTAGATCCAACTATAGGGGGCATCCCATTTTTCGTATTCCCACCATGCATTTCGGTGGAACACGGTGGAACACTTTTTTTGTGTGGAGAACTCTATCTTGTATTTCTAGTATCTTTGCTTATAGTGATTTTGCCATGTGTAAAACATCTACAGGAAAGTCTATGGTAAACTCTCCAAGAAAGGTGGACACATGGACAAGCGTTGCCTTGGGTTGTATTATAGTCAAGATTTATACAACGGATGTTAGTGTTGAAATAATATAAAGTTATTGTATGTAGAATATCTTTTAATAATAAAGTATTTTATTTTGCAATTAATTAAGAAGTAATTAAATTAATGAAAGTCCTAATATTTGTTGGTTAAATTCGATATCATTTCTTTTTTTATTTTCAGTTGATTTATTTGCATATTCAACAGACCAACTATCCTCATTACCAGGCAGAGAAATGATGAATATTCATTGAATTCAGCTAGAACTGCAAAAACCAGCAAAACTGCAGAACTAACACCAAGTCAAAAACAACTTCTGAGAGGCATATATATCTTTCAGCGGGGCCAAGGGCGGTGGGTGGCGCGTAGGTTCCACGTGTGGCGATCGCCTATTATAGGCGATTGCTTCCGCTTGGATAATCCCGACTGTCTTTTTGCGCGAGACGCTGACGAAATTTTCCAAAAAAGTTTCGTTAAGATTTATTGGTGTTTGAAATACAGTACACTACAAATTGTAGTACAACGAATATAGTGTTCCATTTTGTTTTATTCAACATTGTCCCAACTAACAATGGTTTAGTCCAGAATAGGACTGAACCATTTACATTTACACTACGCAAGTCCAGAATTTTAACTAAGTCCAGAATAGGACTACACCATTTACATTTACACTACGCAAGTCCAGAATTTTAACTGAGTCCAGAATAGGACTATTTACACTAAAGTCCAGAATAGGACTGAACCATTTACATTTACACTACGCAAGTCCAGAATTTTAACTAAGTCCAGAATAGGACCTAACCATTTACATTTACACTAAAGTCCAAAATTTTAACTAAGTCCAGAACAGAACTAAACCTTTTACATTTACACTAAAGTCCAGAATTTTAACTAAGTCCAGAACAGGACTGAACCATTTACATTTACACTGCGCAAGTCCAGAATTTTAACTAAGTCCAGAATAGGACTGAACCATTTACATTTACACTAAAGTCCAGAAGGACTGAACCATTTACATTTACACTAAAGTCCAGAATTTTAACTAAGTCCAGAATAGAACTAAACCATTTACATTTACACTACGCAAGTCCAGAATTTTAACTAAGTCCAGAATAGGACTGAACCATTTACTTTACACTAAAATCCAGAATAGGACTGAACCATAAACATTTACACTAAAGTCCGGAATTTTAAATAAGTCCAGCATAGGACTATTTACACTAAAGTCCAGAATAGGACTAAACCATTTACATTTACACTACGCAAGTTCAGAATTTACACTAAAGTCCAGAATAGGACTAAACCATTTATATTTACACTACGCAAGTCCAGAATTTTAACTAAGTCCGGAATAGGACTAAACCATTTATATTTACACTACGCAAGTCCAGAATTTGACCAATAATTTACACCAAGTCCAAGAAGTCCATAATTTCACACTAAGTTCAAGATAGGACAACTAATTTACAATATTCCAGAATTTTAACCAGTCCAGAATTGGACCAATAATTTACACTATGTCCAGAATAGGACCAACAATTTACACTATTTACAATTTCAGTACAAAATTTTAACTAAGTCCAAAATAGGACCATTCTCATTCTCATTTCTGGTTTTATTAATCAACTCATTGTCCAGAATCCTCAGCATTTTAAGTAATTCAAGAATTGGGCCAACATTTTAATCGGATTAATACTAAGTTACTAATTATTGTACAGTATATCACAAACCTGACTTCTTTTCATAACCACCAATTTTATGAATGTACAATAAATCTCTTTGCAGTGTCCCATAATCCATCTGCTTCATTTCCATACATCACAGTTTGCAAAGCTTCAGGTAACAACAGCGTATGTAGCAGGATTCAAATCAATCAGTGTCTATTCCACACAATTCTATATCAAAATTTGACTTTCCACAGTTCACTTGCATTATCTCAAAATCTGACTTCACTAGCTTCAAGCACCGTACAGCTATTGTCAGTACTGTATACAAATTCAAACAAATCAGTCTGGCTTTCCCACAATTCATTGCTCAACCTTCTGTATAACAGCCTTGGTTTGCCACAGTTCATCTGCTTCATTTGTACTTAGCAAGCTTCCAACAAATCGGTCTACCCATCATTCATCTGCTTTACGCTAACAAGCTCCTACTGAATTCTAGTCTTGATAACCCACAATAAATCTGCTCAGCAAGTGTTTTCCTAGAAAATATATATACATAACAAAAACTATATAAATATAAAAGTACAATATCATAATTTTGTGAACTTTGTTTTTTTAAAATAGGTACTGATATTGAACTAATAATTATCACTTTTCAGTAATCATTAACACTGCAACAGGGGGAGTTTATGAATTTGAAAATTATTTCCTTACCTGTTGCAGGGTAGGTGGTGGTGGTTTATTTGTGGCTTGAAGATCACTCAACTTTTTTCATATTCTGAAATATTGAACATTTAAAAATAAATAATAATTGTACAAATTACAATTTAAAAAAAAATTTAAATATTCATGTAAAATCGTAATTATGAAAATAATTATGATAAGTCAGTGATGGAACCAGGCAATGGCGAAACTAAATGACAATAAAATAAATAACAAATAAACAAATAACAAATAAATAAAATCTTTCTCATTAATATTAACATATAGTAGTTATTTTACACATGGTGGTAAATTATATATAGTTATACAATGGACCATTGTTTAGAACATAGCTGCAACAATGACAGAAAGAAAAATTCATTATATAATTTAAATAATACATAATCAGATATCAATAGATTTAAAGTACTCTATGCTTTTAAAAGAGGGCTTTTCCCCATTAGAGCATTCAGTGGATTTGCGAACACTTCGGGACCCCTGATTGTAAGAATACTCATTGGTCCAGAATCGGACTAATAATGATAATAGTGTAGTTTTATATAGCGCACAAATCCATCTAATGTAAGATGCTCAGGGCGCTTGAAATGTGGACTAGGAACTCGATCAATGACTAACACTTATATCACTAACCATCTATTTTAAGAATGCACAATATGTCCCACAATCCACTCTATTTTATTTTTAAACCAGACCTCTGAAAGGTCCAAGATTCCTATGCTGGCATTCGTATTGCAGTACTGTATTTGCGGTGATTTAAACATGAGACCTGAGACCTCAAGTGTTAATCCGTCAGTTTTATTTTTATTGTTAAGTTAATAAGCGCATCAAGGCTTTAGCATAATGCGCAATTTAGGTCAAAATTATTATTATTGTTATTATTATCATTATCATTATTATTATTATTAATCTTGGCATCTGGTTTTTTTTTTCTGCTTGGACATAATTACTGATTACTGTATCTAAAACTTTTATCCTGTACGTGTTCCTCAAAGCAATAAAAAATATAATAAGATAAGAAAAAATATAGCAAACGAGCTTTCACCCTGGCCAGGAATCGGCGCCCTAGTCATTCCTCCCCGACTATCCCTATCCATTCCATGCAAGGTTATGCACCAAGCAAGACCATTAACTATAGGGTTCACTAACTCGGTCCCAATTTGAAACAACTGAACGGAGGGAGGAAACACCGCGACCCCTAAGCCATAAATGCGGAGAACCTAGCATACCAAGTACCTGTCAGTCGAATCTTGAGACTACCTAACTCCGAAACTTGCCGGAAGCTCCCCCCCCCCGCGAATACTCGCTAGTAGTGCACACAAACGACGTACACCTCGAAAATATGGCCAAGCGCTCAGAATGTAAACTAGATCGGAATCCGTTCGAGAAAAGAGGCAGGTAACCTAATTAAAAAAACATTCAAATATATACAGCTGTGGGTCAACATTACGCATGGTCATGGTGTCAAATTAATTCAAGCTCATTTTTTAAAGTAGGAAAACCTTAAATATTGAAAATAATTGTTATTAAGTTTTTATTAAATTTTCAAAATAATTGTCCGTTTTATTTGAAAAAATCAATAAAATTAATAAAAATAAAAGATAAAAGATTATAAAAATATTCAAATTAGATATATGCAAATATATTTTATTAATCATTCACAATTAGTAGAGGGCGGTTTTACATTCTATCTAAAGAGAGAAATAAAAAGGATAAATAAAAAGTATAAAAAATATATTTAAAAAAAATAAAAAAATAAAAAATATATTAATAAAAATAAAATAAAAGGTATAAAAGGTGGTGGTATTCCAGCAAAACGTTTTCTCGAACCATCACGCTTAGGTACAGTCGTAGACTAGGACTAGGCCTAATAATAGGACCTACCTGTAGGCCTAAATGTAAACGTTTTTGTGTTGGTGTAGTACCTAGGCCTACCTGAAATTTAAGATGTTTCCTTCGTACAAATAAGTACAGTTATAGCCATACCTCCCTGACATTCACTATGCTTAGCAATTAGGGTAGGACTACCACAGTCCTTGCCAGCAGGTTGGTCCTGGTCACCACAGGCCTAGGCACTTTACGCCGACGACGGCAATTTGGCCCGGGGTCATCGCGCTCAAGTGTTTACTGTGAGCCACCGCCGTAAAGTGGATTAATATAGACAAAGAGTATAAATAGAACAAGAGAGCAAAGCCCCGTTTATAAAAACGTCACGCCTGTGTAGGACGCCACGGTTGTATGTTCTTTTTATAACCCAGTGCAGCGCTGCGCAGCGCGGTAGAAGTACGCCCGCTATATATTGTTTTTCTTTAGTTATTTCAGAGATTTGTGTGATTAAAAATATATAGTCATATTAAGCAATGTATAATGTATTAAAATGCATTGTGATACTGTTAAATATTAGCGAACATTTGTTGTTTTTCTTTAGTTACTTTATTTCAGAGATTTGTATGATTAAAAATAACATTTAAAAAAACATTTTTCTAAGCGCTTTGGCTAAAGGCACTATATAACTTTCTATATTATTGCTGCGAAGCAGCCAATTCATATTCTTGACAGCAATTTGACCTCTGAAAGGTCATTGTCAAAAATCAATCGCCTGAGACAACTGAAAAGCGGAGTTTCCTTCTTTCATTCTGCCGCGTAAAATCAATTACTTTAGGCGACGTTTGTAGACTAACCTACTCGTACCAACGTCCGCATGTCGCAACGCTGGATTACAATATTCAGCGTTTTTCTATATTTCTAGGTTTCCTATTTCTACGTTTAATCGGCTCATGTCTCAGCCACAATATTTTGAGGACAATATTATATACGAACCCAGTTAAACTTATTTACTAGCCTATTTCAACATGCTAATTATTACATTTAGGCAACGCTTGTTGTAGACTGGCATAGTTTTTGCGGAAATAAATACCATTTTATACACATGCGCAGATCGATTCGCCAGCAGCGAGTCATCGCCAGCAGCAGCGAGCCATCGCCAGCAGAGAGATGTCACTGCAGCAAAACACTATTGTACCAACGCTGCTCTAATAATATATAGACAATGGGTCATGCTCATATTATTTGTTATATTTTTATTATTCATTATTTTCACTTGACTCGCATAAATAATTTTGTTCGAAGAACATTTTATGCAGTTGTACTTCGCAGCACTTCACTTGCAATTTGCAATTTCTAGTTATTATTATTAGATTTAACTCTCAAAAATTTTGAGAAAACATGGAAAAATTGTTTTTTCCATGTTTTTAAGAACTTTGTTTTAAAAATACCAGTAGGTACAGTACTTTACTGATGGTACAGTAGAATCCCTCCTTGGGGGCACCCCTATTAAGGGGACACCCCTATTAAGGGGACAATTTTAATAGCCAGAAAATCAAGGAAAGTATGTCTATAAACACTACGGCCAACCAAAATTCAGGGGACACCTCTATTTAAGGGGACACATAACAAATACGCTTCTTTTTCCCTGTTAACTGGGTTCTCATGTTTTAAGTGTTGCTGCTTTTCAGGTGTAGGCAACCCCACAAGGTACCCCTATACTCTTGGGTGGAGAAAACCCATGCAGTGATGATTTGATGCAATTGGGAGGGCATAACATGTACAGTACCTTACAGGTGTGCATGGTCTACAGTACCTACGGGTCCAACAAGACAGGTAATTACAGGAGAAGCAATGCAGATGAAGTGCCTTGCTCAAGGACACAAGCGAAATGTACAGTACAGCGAGGGACTGAAACCCCGACCTCACGGTTGCTGAACCAGCCGCTTCTACAACATAAACTATTGTTGTTTTAATTAAATTTGTGCTGATTTCATGTTATAATTGTATTTACATTGTAAATTCTTGCTATAAATTAGTTATAATTATATATAAATAAAATTATACAGAATTTATGTCATCATATAAAAACATGCCAAAAACCCCTATTAGGGAACAATTTCTCATTTTTGGTTAGTGGTACCCCTATTCTGGAGACACCCCTATTAAGGGGACACTTTTTTTGGTTAAGTGTCTCCTTAATAGGGGTTTTACTGTACCAGCATGTTTAGGTGAATCCTCATTATAACAATATTTTATTATATGCCCACAATGAATATTCTGAAATTCATTAATTATTTTTCTGTTGCCGTTTACTACAACATAATTGTGTAAATCCGAGCTTTCAACTGTTTAAAAACAATTTATTGAAATAAACTTAAAACAGAAAATTATTGTAAGATGACCTAAAAATAACATTATCCAAATGAATATCAGTGGCATATCCAGGGGATGTTCAGGGTGCTTGAGTACCTCCCCCACCCCCACCTTTCAGAGGTTAAAAAAAATGAAAAGTGGCTCTTTTTAAATGTTCAAAAATAACTGACATAAATGTTAAGTAATAAAGTCCCCAATTCTTAATATTTTCTCTCACCTCAGCCTCATGCATGGTGGGACTCAGGTAATAGTAATTTTCCTAGATTTTTTATATTAAAATGCCACTTTCTGACATCTAAAATTCTTACAATTGTTTTACCTCAGTCTCAACATGGTATGCTGAGGTGGATGGTAGTTTTCATAAATTTTATCCAAATGCCATTTACTGGCATCTTTAAAGCCTCAAATTCTTAAAATTTTCCAACCATGTGGGATTTGGGGCTCAGGTGGATGGTAAATTTTGGAATTATAATTTAAGTGCCTTTTTCGGGCACCCGTTTAATTAATTCGTTTTTTGTTTTACTCATCTTGTCAAAAATAAAAAGAATTAAAAGGAAAATTAAGTTGCAATTCGGGAATCCACAGGGACAAACTACTGAAAATGTTCTCTCATGTCACCGCCAACCAAGGTGCCGCTGACGTGGTTTGGACTTTTATTTTATCACACTCCCCCCCCCCCCCCCCCCCCCCCCCCCCACCCCCCCCCAACCCCCTTCC